GCACTGCTACTTCAATTAAATTTATCAACCAAAATAAGGAATTGTTGAATAATCCACTAAAAGGATTAAGAGATACTTCATCTAATTTTCTGCAGCTGATCGAATTGCAAATTTACATCAAGACAAAGGTTTAAAAGAACATCGTTAATCTTTATATTGGTCTGCCTTCATATTCCTCATTGAAGGATTCATCAAATTCAAATATTCTATCTGGAATGAACAATATTAGACACAATATAGCAATTTAATATATACTGGCTCCAATAACTGTTCTGTACATAATTGAATTGACAATGCTCTCTCTTTTACCATATGGTTTCCTATTTAAAAGTCGATCACTAGGTGGTTCAGTTGCCAATGCTAAAGATGCAAAAGTGTCCATGATTAGATTCACCCACAACATTTGAATACTGGTTAAAGGAGCTTCCTTTGTAACAGCTGCTCCAAGGACACTCATAAAGAGAGCCACAACATTGACAGTCAATTAAAATTAGATGAATTTACGAATACAATTATAAATATTTCTTCCCCATTTGCATGCAGTGATAATAGAACTAAAATTGTCATCCAATAATATGATATCTGCAGCATCCTTACATACATCAGTACCTGTGATACCCATAGCAAATCCGACATCAGCCTTTCTTAATGCAGGAGCATCATTGGTTCCATCTCCAGTCACTGCAATCACATTATCTAGTTATTTCAATCCTGTTGCTAATATAAACTTATCCTCAGGAGTTGCTCTTGCCAATACTTTTAAGTGAACTGCAATTTCTTAAAATTTTAACAGATTCTTGACTTCTTGCACTTCAACTCCATCCTTCACCACTTTGTTCAAACCTCCTGTCAATTATCTAAATTAAGATCCTTCCATGGCTTCATATTCATGTAAATCACTTTCAGCTCCTAGAATTTTGCAATCTCTTGCAATAGCTTTGGCTGTATTAATGTTATCACCTGTTACCATTCTTACTATTATGCCTGATCTATAACATTATTAGATAGCACTTGGCACATCAGGTCTTACAGGATCTTTGATTCCAGCTATATTTATTAAAGTCAAATCGCTTAGAAGATATTCTTCTGGAATAGATTCAAAATCATATTCGAGATGGTAATTTAATATTTTGTATGCATTTCCTAATGTTCTAAGTGCTTGACTAGCATAATCTTCAATTATTGTCAACATGTTCTTAGCATCCTAAGGTGTCAATTGGACTTCATCTCCATTTGAATTAATAAATTTAGTGCATTTTTTCAATACCATTTCAGGAGCACCTTTGCTGAATAAATATATCTTATTATTATGATTGACAATTGTAATCATCATTTTTCTCTTTGAATTTAGAGGGATCACTCTTAAGATATTATCAGATGGTCTATAACTGGAAAGCTGATAACCTAACATATCACAAAACTCTATCAAAGCACACTCTGTTTTATTTCCTATCTATTCAAACTTCCCATTAATGCCTCTTTTTGGATATGCACTCGAATTATAGAGATTGCTGGCAGCCAAGAGATCTAAATAATCCTTCGGTAGTTCCTTGATTTATGGTAATTGATAATCCTTATAATTAGAACCTTAACCAAAAAATGAATTGACTTGCATGGTATTCAAAGTCAGAGTACCAGTTTTATCACTACAAATATTGTTGACTCCTCCCATAATTTCACAAGAGGCAAGAGTCTTAACTAAATTTTATTCATCTTTCATTTTGTTCACAGAAAAGGCTAAAGTGATAGTAACAGCCAACGGGAGTCCCTCTGGAACAGCCACAACAATAATAGTAACACCAATCATGAAAAATTTGAGTATTCTTTGGAGACAATCAAGATGCCAAAATTATTCCCAAAATGTTTATTCATCATTCTATCCATATTCTATGAATAGTCGAACCAGGAGTATTACGAATGTTAATATTGCCACTATAACACCCACTTTACCTATCGTTTCTGCCACTGCTTCTAATTTCACTTACAAGGGAGTCGGTGTACTGTCACTTTCACCTAATCTCTTCATTTCATTCTGCACTGTATTCTCACCCACTAAAAATAATTCAATTTTTTATCGCATTACCTTACAACACCAACATTACTCCTGTTCCTTCATTAACCTTGGTTCCTGACATCAAAAATGGCGATTTTCCTTTTTAGTCCTTCAAACACATATCAAGTGATGCCTTCAGCATTTCATCAGACTCTCCTGTCATTGCTGATTCATCTATCTTCACTTCGCTGCCACTCAAATACAATCCTAAAATCAAAATTTATACTCACCATCTACATTGAAAATATCTCCTAGTTAAAATAATAAGACGTCACCAACCACAATATCCTTATTGCTAATTGTTATTACACTTCCACCTCTCTTTACTTACACGTGTCCCTCATCAAGCTTTGATTATAATTTGGCAAATTGTCTCTCCTTGGCGTAGTTGTTACCTGCTGTAATTCCGATGATCAAGAAGATCGCCAAAAATATAGTTAAGCTAACTAATCAAATTCTAAATTTACCCTTCATACCATCCACCTTCACCTTCTATAATCCCCAAAATTGTCGATACAATTGCTGCAACAATTAAAATCTACAACATTGTATCACCCAAGCACTCTACAATTAATTTCCATAAAGGTGTTAACTCTTTCACAATAGGTAAATTAGCTCCGTATCTATTTCTCAGCGTGCTTGCTTATTCTTCATCTTGTACACCACGCTAAACTTGCCAAAATAAATAGTACCTTCAAATCTACTTGAAATATTTTTGCCAATCCTTGTTCTCCGCCTAATTATTATACGAGTCCTAAAGAAACCCCTTCTCTAATATTGTCAAGTTTAAACAGATTTTTGAAGTCTCCATCCTCCCCTTAGCGAACTAACTCAGAATCAGAGTTCCTTTCAATGAGATTTACTCTACTCATTTTTAATTATGAATTATTTTACAACCAAATTACTTTTACAATGTTTATCAATCAAACCTTCGATATCGATGCAATTGCAAGATCTTCCTGACGTATTCAGATCATGAGAAAGATATAGAAAAATACTTAATACGTATATTCCTGTAAATTCATTTATAATATGACAACATATGATTGATGAATAACTACATCCTGTAATATTGAGTTTAGAATTAGGACTACAGATTAGATGATAATATTGAAATAAAATTTAATTAATTAATATCTTTATAAATATTTGAATTTCATAAGGCAAATATTCAAAATTGAGCCTTTAACTCTGTCAGAAAATAGCATTTAAAGGAACAAATTTACCTATAATATTGAGAGTAAATTATGAAATTTCATCAAAAGAGAAATAACATTCACTTTTATCCCTCTAAGTATAACAACATTCAGCTTGATCATACATATCCTGCATATTTTCTCCACCTTAATCGAATTCATAAGTTCCATTCAAAGATATTCATAATATTCATATTTATCAGTTTGAGAATGACATAAAAGTAAAGTTTGAATCAAAATTTAATAGCCAAATAGTCACATTAATTAGTGAATAAAATATTACTCTACAAATAGTAAGTATTTTTGAGGAAACATTGATAAATTTAGGTCATTATAAAACTCCGATCAATTAGTATTTTAAAATAAAATAACAATCATCCGTCATTCTGTCTATATCGATTGTGTTTCTATTATTTTTAATAAACAAATTCATAAATTGGGTTTGAAAAGCATATCGATTACTTGTTTGTCCTTGATTATATCTCCATTTCCTTTGGTTTGATAATTTAAATCGATAAGTCTCATCTAATTTTTCTCTATCTTGTTAAATATAACGAGCTATTTAACATTAATTTAATAAATAAATGAACAGATAAAGCAATATAAAATCAGAATTAGATCAACTGACAAAACATGTAAATCATTCAAATTATTCTACATTAGCATACATCTCTTGATAAATCGAAAGAAAGGAATCATACGCCAAAAGTTAAATGTTGTTCAAATAAATATTTATTGAATTCTTCTACAAAACAAAACCTGAACAGATCCTACAATAGCAACTAAAAAGTCCACTCCAAATTGTAGTCTAAAGCAACCTCTGACATCAAATAGAAATTATTAGATGAAAGTAAATATCCTATTATTATCTTAAAATAATAGTTCTCAGAGGATCTCATTCATAATTCTCGTAAAGCTATCTAACAAGTATTATCCAAGATAAAATTGTTAACAAACCCTAAAAATATCACACCTCTGATGATACATCAAGTTTTACATTACCGGACAAAGAATTTAATATTAAAGCACCCTTTCTCTAAATTGACATCTTTACTGCTGAAGAATGCAAGAAACAATAGGACTCAATCACACTCACTAAATTTTAAGAACTATTGGAGTAACTTGAATTAAAAGAAGCAGAGTTGAAAGTCAATGTGTTTTCCAATCTCAAAGCCTTGTTTTTAATATTGGCTAAATAAATTTAATAGAAACTAACCTCTTAGATGAATGAAATTGCCAAATTGCAAAACTGCAACTCTGAATTGCAACTATAACAAAAAATCCTACAGGATCGAATCTAAGAATAGAAGCAAATTACTATTAAAACCGAAGAGACCCTTAATTCTCTTCTCTTTACACTTCGATACACGAATCTAAATAATCCCTAAATAATGGAACAACACAGTGATTAAGCTGAAACCTAAAAACATCTATCAGAAATCAAGAACTTTGAAGAAAATATATCCATGATGTCAGAAGAATCAGCTCCCTTTGGAAAATTTTATAATTACTATATTAAAAAGTAACAGGACCCATAAAAAAAGGGAGCATTGGGTTTGACTCTAAATTTGAACTCCCTAAAAAATCCATAAACAGCTCCAATAGGATATCAAGAGGAATTTATGGCTAATCTAAACGAATTTAGTGAAAGCTGGAGACAATAGGCAATTAAAGAACAGAGATTTTGAACCATATTATGATTTTCGCTTTATAAATTTTGCATAAATTTTATTAATTACATATATATATATTCATGCCAAGACCTAATTATTGAAAACAACATTTGTTTAATTATTCTATTTTTCTTAAGATTCTTAGGGTTCTTAGGCCAATTACTATTCACTACAATTTAACTCGAATCTAAAAATTAACCCTTCAACAAGTACATCGTATTTTTATTCTCCATCTGTGAATTTGAACTTTTTTATGTAACTCCATTTAGTAATACTTCAGGTTTAACATTGAGAACATTATTTTATGGTTTTATTTTTTTGATATCAGATTTCACTATGAATTCATAAGTGGTGATTCCTTTGATTATAAGATAAATATGGAAAATGAATAATTAGAGAAGTAAAATAGAAAAAATAGAGGAATCCACAAGCATAATTATTGAGAGTGTGTATTTGATATCTAAATCGTTTTCATCATAAAAATGCTTAAACTAAAATGAAATTTGTTACAAACTTTTGAATTTCATTGTCTATTAATAGTTTTTCATGCTCAGTATTATATAATCTTATAATTCTAATATAAACGATAGCTGTGTAAAAAAGTTGGAGCATGGTTGTCGTTATCATCATTATAAAAATTTTATAATTTTTATTCCCAATACAATTATTAACCCATTTACAATGATGATCAAACTCTTGACAACATCTAAAATAATAAATTGGAACAACCTATTACAATGTTTGCAATGCTTTGTATTTTCTTTCACATAAGCATCGCAAATGTCACAATATGAATCTAATTTATAACTTTCATAATTGAAAGGTTTTCTATATAATTGCATAACCATACCCAATTCTACGATGTTGTATTTGCTATATTAAAAAATCATCGGTTGGACAACTAAGTGTAGTTTTAATACAAGAGAACAAAGATAGTAAAGTTAAAATTCCTAGTAGTATAAAATGCGCAGCCTATATATTAAATAACACATTTACAGATTCATCAAGTAGAGATATTAGTAGGAAACAGTTTATCATATTTGGAAGGTAAAGTAAGTAAGTTAGTGATTGATAGAGAGTTGGTATTTAAGTGCAACCATGTCGAATATAATTATTTTATTTCATTCTAAAATAAATATAATTATTTTAAGAGAACCTAAAACCTGAAAATAAATCATAACAAGAAACCTTATTCATATTTAATGAAGAATCTTTGGACATAATCAATTCAATAATCTAAATGATTAACAAAAATTATCTTATTTAATTCAAAAAATAAATTTATAACAAATGATGATTGCTTTAAGTCTTACAATGTATTGCTGATATTGCAGAGTTTTCTATAAAAATAAAAGGATATAGATTTGATTGCCCAAACTAAAAATAATCTCATTCATCTGAAAACAAATGTTTTTACTCTTGACATTAATGATATCTGTTTCTCAGATTAATAGTATTTGATTAAAATACGTAATTGATTAAAATTTTTATTACTCCATATAGAAATTTAAGTAATTTAAAAATAATACGATGAAAAGTGATGATAGCTCGTTCTATAGTGTTGTCTATCAAGATGTCTATGATCCACATCCATTGTCAACTGATTTACCTTGTTCTGAAAATGAAGTCCCTTTTAAACAATTAAGGTTATCTATGCTTGAAATAATTAGTGGTGATGAAGCAATAGAGAAGAGTTTCATGGAATCAAACTGTTAATCATCCGTATGGGCAAAAAGGGGATCGAAGGCATCCTTTTTATTGACAAGCATAACCATTATGAAGAGCATGGTTGGAGTTGGAATTTTAGGAATTGTACTTTTTATAGTTATATTAGCCAAATGTGATGAAAAATTTTGGTGTAATTCTAACTATTGTTATAATGATCATTGTCTATTCATTAGGTATGACTGCATCTAGAGTATTACTTAAATGTAAGAATTTGAGCAAAAAAAGTAATTATTCAACAATTGGATATTTTATATTTCGTCACAGTTGGATCATTTACACAGTTAATTTAATTATTACACTTTCAAATATAACAACATGTTTAAGTGAATTGATGTAATCTAATATTTAATAGACTAGTATTTTTGGAGATGCATCTTAATTGCTAATTAAGTTTTATAAGGGAGATGACTACGATGTTCCATTTTATTTATCAAGAACCTTCTTACTTTGCATGCTAGGAGTCGTTCTTACCCCTCTCTTAATTGTAAAATCAATAGAGAAACTCAGGTTTGTCAGTCTAACTGCAATTCTATCGATTAGCACCTTTACTGGGTTGGCATTTTACAATTTCTTTACCAGAGAAGGAACACCTGAGGGTATATCAATTTACTTATATAGGATTTTCTTTGTTGATTCCATCTACATTTAATTTCAAAAATGCAATGACTGCACTTCCAACATTGCTTTTAGCTTACAATTGGCAATTCAATTTATTCCCCATCTTTAAAGGAATGGAGGGTCCAACTGATCAAAAAATGACTTATGCAATGTTTACTGGATATTCTATGGCATCATTCCTATACCTCTGTGTTGGTATCTTGGGTTATGCCACATATGGAAATAATGTATACTTATATCTCATTATGTCAATAGATCTAAACCAATTATTTAAAGAGTATTAAAGCTTAAGAGGTTGGGTCAATACTGTATGTTATTTTGAATATCACTTTTGTTGTTTCAACGACATTAACATTGCCTGTATTATTCTTTGGGGGAAGAAACAACTTCATATAAATTTATAAACAATTAACTTCAGAGAAAAAAACTGTTTAAGAAGTTAAGAATTATAAAGAATTCTTGGATGAAACAAATGCTAAAAGATAAGAGAAACTTATCGAAATTAAGTTGAAAAAGAGATCCTAAAAAGTTCGATTTTATTTGTTAACACTTCTTCTTTTCTTATTATTAATGTGCGGAGCTATCTTTTTAGATAATCTCACTTTGGTCTTCAATATCAAAGGAGCAGTTTTTTGTAATTCAATTTAATTTGTGTTGCCAAGTTTATTCTATATCAAATTAGTAGAGAAAGTCAAGAAATACCGATTCAAAAGTAAATAGAAGTAATATTTTTATTATGGAATCAAAATATTATTTTGTATGAGTTGGGTATTCTTGGTTACTTGTGTTGTATGTGGAACTATGGCAGCAGGTCATTGATTTATTTAATGTTAATTATTTAAATTTACAATTTATAGTATTAAGTAACCATATTATATTTACTATCTTCAGTGGTATATTTTAATATTTATTAATTGAAGTATTTTAGTTTAATTATTAAAAAACCTACTATTATCAATGAGTGATCACTCTTAGTTCTGTTTTAACTAGAATAACAACAAGGAGGACTTATTGTTTTTCATAACCTTAAAGGTTTAAGTATAATGAAAGCATGACGAAATGATTACATTAATGTAAACCAAATATCAAATCATTATAAAAGAACTATAATCAAATATATCATTATCACTATTAGAAAATTCAAAACTGATATAACAAATATTTTAATTCTAAGTCTAATTTCTTTAACAGGCAACCCTAAGGAAGAATAAAGTAAGTGAATCAGAAATCAAAATTGTTTTCCTACCTAAAATAATTAAAATTCTAAATTAAATGATTGGAATTAGTCACAACATAATTAGGATCAATTACTTTAATTATATAAATAAGAAATAGACAAAGTTAAATAGTAGACTGCAGAGTTTGATAGGAAATTTGAGAACGAAAAACAATACATAAAATAAGAAATAAGCACATTAAAAATTAAAAACTAATAATCTAGACATTAATTTCACAGAGATGTGGAACCAATTCAAATGTAGAGAAACCATATGCTCTAAATTCAAATAAAAAATTGAATAATAACTAACCCAGATCTTATAGTCATAATTCTAGGAAGACTTAAAATTTTTGAATACTAACTCTGTAAATTTATTTTATAAGAAATTAATTTCTTCTTTAATATAATGGATTAAGGAGTAAGCCATGGATTTTCTCTAAGAAAGATCTGCAAATAGAGACTCAAAGGAGTATTTGTCTCTTTGATTTAAACAAATCCGAATGTTTCTAATTATTTTTTGATTGTTGACCAAAGGACTGTAAAAGTTGTTTCAGCGTATATGAAAATGGCAGAGTATTTATACTTTGAATGCTTAGATTAATGGAATTGGGAGTAAGTGCTGTTGAGAAATTGGAGTTGGGGAGAAAGCCTTTTCCAAAACTACATGCAATTTATTTTATTTCTCCAACATAAGAGTCCATCTAAAGAATATTGGATGATTTCAAAGATAAAAAGAATCCTCAATATGGTGTTGTTCATATATTTTTATCAAATGAAATAGATTAAGGATTAATGCAAAAAATAGCTTAATGTATGGAATACATATATAAATTTCATAGGTAACTAGCTAATAACTAAAATTGCCTCTTTCAAAATAGTGAATTTAGATTTTGCTTGTACTTCCGATTAAGTATTTACTATTGAAACCCCAGAAATACTTACAAAAGCATATACATAATAAAGTAAGTTAGTTTTGAAGATTTTTTAGATATATAATAATAATTGAAAGAAGCTTCATATAAATTGGCTACCTTGCTAATATCATTTAACAAATTTTATTCCTTTGAATTTTTATATAATTAAGCCGAGAATAGGTTATCAGAACAAGTCGCAAAATTAGCAGCGACAAGATTACAAGAATTATTAGCTTCTTTTGTAAAATAGAAAAATGAGTAGTATGACAACATTGAAAAAGAAGCTGGAAAGATAACCGTTATGATAGTAGATCGCTCGTATGATGTAGCTACTCCATTGTTGCATGATTTTTATTACCAATCCATGATCTATGATTTATTAGATATAACAAATGACATATATGAAACTGAAGTAGAGGCAGCTGGCAAATAAATTAAACAGAAAGTGATATTTAATGAAAACGATGATTTATTCAATAGATATAAGTAAACAAAATATTCACTTATAAAAGATATCGACACATCATTTAGGTGTTAGAAGGAATCCCTTAAGAATTTAGAGAATTCATACAAAACAATACAACTGCTAAAGTCCATTAAGGATAAATGAATAATTTAGATTTGAATCAAATGTCAGAAATCGTTAAGACATTGCCTTAGTATAATGAATTATTAGGAAAATATACTTTGCATATGGTATAATATTTAAATTGAATTAAGAAACTTATTGAAAAGAGCTGGTCAATCTTTGAAAATAAAGGCCTTAAGGAAATAGGTGAGATTGAATAATGCTTGATCACTGGTATTGATGGATCTGGCAAAAGTATTTCAACCACTAAGATTTAAAGTGCGGTTGCCACTAAATTGATGAGTGAAACTCTGGATGACTATGATAAATTAAGACTAATCTTATTAAGTAAGTTATAAATAACATTGTAGCCTCAATCGGTTTGGAAATGTCAGAAAAAGACAGAAAGATATTAACTGATAAAATTAAAGTTGAACATCAATAAGCAATCTTAAATTTAATTTATTTAGGTGTCAATCCTTAAAAAGGAGGGCAGAAAAAAGTAGATTATATCAAATTAACCTTTAGTCTAAATCTTCTAATAGAATTAATGACGATTTAAAAAAATAAGCTAAACATAAATTGGCTAGTGCTTGTACTGAGTTATCTAGAAATACTCCATTGATTGAAACTTTAGTGGAAAGCTACATTGAATCTAATTACAAAAAACCTTAGAAATTTGATTCTATAATTATAAATGAGGATGGTGTTGGGAGCAAAGGTGGAGGAAAATCAATAAGAAAAGGAGGACAATTGGCCAGAATGATACAAACTGATGATAGTGATGAAACCATCAATTACACTCCTAAATTAGTAAACTTATTTTATATTTAATAGATTATATTTGTAATTGGGGGGATTAGTTATTCAGAAATTAGAAGTCTGTTAAGTAATCAAAAAATTACTAGTTCTTAAATTACTGTAAGATAATTCATATTTATCAAAGTTGGTTGGCTCAACTCATATAGTGAAACCTAAAGACTTCTGTTAAGGATTGTTAGACATGAAGACTATTTGAATAATATATTTATAAAATATATATGCATATTTATCTTACTCATTTGTATATTGGGGATCCTCTTGGTTTAACTTGCTAAAATATAGAAAAAAAGAATCTATACGTTGTTATTAGGACTTTAATCTTTATCCTTTTCATAACAATCGTGAGTCCATTTAGAATGTTATTAGTCTTATATGTTAATTAATAATTATTACTTCTTTCATCTCCTTTTTGATCTCTATCTCTATTATTTCTATCTCTATCATTGAATCTATTTCTATATTTATCTCTATTGAAACTGTTGTTTCTATCATTCCTGTCACCTTTATCATTTCTTTCGTTTCTGTCATTTCTGTCATTTCTATCATTTCTGTCATTTCTGTCATTTCTATCGTTTCTGTCATTCCTTTCACTCCTTTCATTCTTATCATTTCTGTCATTCTTATCATTTCTGTCATATCTATCATTCCTATCATTCCTATCGTATCTATCATTCTTTTGGCTTCTTTCATAATCACGTCTATCTCTTTTATCGAATCTTCTATTTTAAGAATTGTTAAATCTACGATAGTTTCCTTAATTATAGTTTCTTCTTTCCACCTTATTAAATCTAAGAACTAATAATCATACTTATTAATCATCGGCTTTTTTTTCTAAATTAACATTCACATCATTTGTTGTTTATCCCTGTTCTTAGAGTTTATTTGTTTGAGTTGGTTAGTTTTTTTTCCTAATGCTGTAATCAATTCTAATAAATAATGACAGATTGAATGATTACTTTTTCAAATATGAATTAGCTTAACTAAAATCTTCATTCTTCCAACCACTTATTAAAATCAAGAATAAACTTACAAAAGGTAACTATTCATATGACCCCTTCCTTTTTTTATAATGTTTGGGTCATCTTTTGGTTTTGATTTTGAATGAGACTTTGATTTCGACTTAGATCTAGATCTTGATCTTTAAGTTCTAAACAATCACAATTATATACAACTTTTATGATGCCACAATATCTAAATTCACAAAGTTTGAATTACTTTATGAAATCTTTTCCTTCTTCTCTTTCTTCTCCTTTTTCTGTTTCTTCTTCTTGTCTCCTGGTACAATTTAAATATGAAATGTACTTCTTGAGCTGCTCGATGAACTTGAATTCTTTCGATGATCTCTTTTGGCTTTTTTCCTAAAACATTAACATGATTAATTACTTGGAGGATCTATCTGATGAACTTGAGTCGGACCTTGTATTGGTACAGATACACAATATACCTTTTCATTATTTTGAGCAATTAACAAATGAATAAAATATTAATTTATTTAGATAATAATAATCACAGAATATCTTTAAAGAGTAATTCAAATTCTCTTTTTAAAAAGAGATAGTCGAAAATTGAATTCTTGTGGGTTGAATCAAAACTTTGAAAATGCTCTAAGGTATAACAAATAATAAAACTACAACACAGTATGGAAAATTGACAGCATTCTTAAATTGATAAATTAAATTTAATAATATAGATATAATTAAATGTCATAAGCGAAAATCGTCTCAGTAAGTGAAACAAACAATATCTATAAATGGCTGGTCTTAACTAGCTTCTCATTGAACTCGTAAACATTATTTTTAAGCTTAGAATATCCAATATCTTTATCTACAGTGCATTAACTCCAATTTGGTCATCTGTTGCCATCTATTATAACGTAACAGATTATGATTTAAACTGGTTTTCAAATATGTACTTCATATCATTATTCACAACCACTTTTGGTTTCAATCCATTTATTTTAAAATACTTTGGTCAATCACAAATTTTTAGTTGTATTCTCACAACCTCAGCACTTTGGATTTTATTGATATCGGGAAACAATTTCACAATGGGATTGCTATGCTTTGCACTCTTAGGATTGGGAGAATCTCTCTATTACTAAGTTCCACTACGTAAAAAAAGAAAATAAAATAATTGTAGATTTATCAAAAATATGGTTCCCCCACGAGGAGCGAGCCCTTTCAACATTTATAGGATAATATTCAAATAGTATTGGTATATTGATAAGCACCATCATTTCATTTTACTATTTTTATGAAGTGGTATAATTATAAAATAATTTAAGGTAGATGAAAATGAATTTCAAACTAGGTATTAAAATTTAATATTCGCAACAGCAGTTTTTGCTTCTATCGTTTTGGTTTGCAATCTTATTACTCTCAAAAAACCAATTAATCAGAAGGATTCTATTTAAATACGAGATTCTCTTTGGATATCAATGAAAAAGATTTGCACTGCTGAAGAAGCTATCTTCGACCTCCTCTCTTTTTCAGTTTGTAAATTTATAAACTCAAATTAGTCATTGGTGTAGGTTGGAGTTATTCAGCTCTGTTTAACATCTAGTAGTACAATATTGGATACACAACGTTAGAGTTATTTTAAACCAACGTTTGTTATTAGATTGGTGGGATCTTGATTGCAGCTTTTTACACTTGGAAATTGCACTCCTAATCACAACATGGACTACAGTAAAGTTATGACAAATACATGAAATACATAGTTTCAATAGGGTTTTGGGCACTTGCAATAGAGATTATCATTTTTGACTAAGTTCCTTTCTTGATCCTAGAAATTCTGAATTTTTTAGTAGGTTGCGGTTTTGGGGGATATTATTCAATATTACTTGAATCACTTTAGGAAAAACATTTTCCTGCATAGGAATTAGCAATAGGAAGTGTACTCAGTGCAGTATCATGTGTAAGGCTATTTAAAATAAAAAAGATCGCTTCAGTATTAGTTATAATGATCCTAGGATTACCAGAATTCTAGAAATATGGATTTTAAATCTCATGTTACTTATTAATAATGCCATTTTGCTTTATTTTAGTATTTTATAAAACACAGTTCAAAAGATTTGAATAAGAGGCTTGAACATTTCTTTCTTAATAATGATAATATTATATAGACTATAGAATAGTCAATTAATAAACCAATTATAATAAATACATTTTCATAATTATTCAAAACAGCTTTTGCTTATTATTATAAATAATTTTCGTTATTTGATTTCTTAATATATTTAAAAAATGAATTGATGTTTGAGTCTTATCTAATGATAAAATCTATATTGAAAGTGATCCATTTTTGAACCTGTAATTAACTTTTGTGTTTTTAAAACTAAAATATCTAATTTATTTGTACTTGCCCTATTTAGCCTTATTTAAAGAAATTAATTAAGAAATCATTTAATTTATAGTTTATAATGAAAGAGGATAATAAAATACAAAAACAAAGTGAAGGTCTTTATTAGTGGATTGTTCTGGCAAGTTTTTGCTTGAATTCGTATATTAGAATACATATTTTAGAATGTCGAATATCTTTTTGTTTACAGGATTATCACCAATTTGGTCTCAAGTGGCCATATATTATGGTACTACTGACTATGATTTAAATTGGTTTACAAACATGTACTACATAACTTTAATGTCTTTTTCCTTTCTTTTCAATCCTATAATAATTAAATTTTTTGGAATGTCCTAACTCCTGAGCTGTTGTTTCACCTCATTGGGGCTGTGGCTTTTATTGTATGTGAAACAAAGTTATTAATTGGGACTTGTAAGTTTTGGATTGATAGCCTTAGGGGAAAGCTTGTATTTCTAAGTTCCATTACGTAAAAGTATTCAATAATGATAGATTTATCCAAACTTTGGTTTGCCCATAATCAAAGAATTATTTCCACCTTTATAGCACAGTATTCAAATAATTTGGGAATGTTGATAGGATATATAGTTTCATCATCATATTTCCAGGATATTGTATTTATTTTAAGGTTAAAAAGGTCGATGAAAATGAATTTAACTCGCGATATGGGAATTTAGTATTTTTTAACGCAATATTCGCAACCATAGCTTTGGTTTTTAATCTTTCGACTTTAAAAACCCCCTAATTACGCCATGACATAGTTGAAATTAGACTCACCATATGGGAATCATTATCAAAAATCGTAATGGCCGAAGAATCAGCATTTGATTTTTTATCAATATCTTCATGTAAAAATGTCTATATTTGTAGTTATAGGATTGAGTTGGTGTTACACAATGCTAATAGGAACTCAATAATATTATCAGGGCTAAACCTTTATACAAGTTACTTAAACTAGTATATACTTCTAAGTAGGCTAAATATTAGCTGGTACTTATTGTACTTGGAAATTATAAAAGTAATCAAAAGCAGGAATTCAATAGGATTATGACATCTACATAAAAACTATGATTAGTTTAGGGTTCTGGTTGCTTGTTTTCGAAATTATATTGCTTGAAGATATTCCTTTCATAATTTTAGTTTTTATAAATTTTTTCATTGGGGCTGGTTTAGGAGGAATCTATTCGGTCTTATTGGAAGCCTTAATGGAAAAACACTTTCCAGTTTAAGAGTTAGCAATAGGATCTGTTTTTGCTGCAGTTGCTTGTGTAATATATGATAATTAGATTTAGGTTGTATCAATAACGATTACTATGACTTTAGTCATTCCTAAATTCCTTGAATATGGATTTTAAATCTCATGTTATCTAATGATCATTCCTTTTTGTTACATAGCTGTCTTCTATAAAACTCAATTCAAAAGATTTGAGGCAGAAGCTTGATTTATTAATTTTGTACTTATAGCTAAAAATAAATATAAAATCTAAATATCTCATAAACATTTAAGTTTGATGATTTAATGAAGTTAAAATAGTTTAGTATATATATACAAGATCATAAATCAAGACTCATACTCAAATCGCGTATATTTAGTTTTATAGAAGACTAGGATATAGCAAAAAGATGGGATCATAAAAAAACATGAGATGTAAAATCCATATGTTAAGAACTGGGGTATTATTGAAATCATAATGATTAAAAATGACAATGCCTAGATTAAAATAATATTATTTACACAAGCCACTACAACCAATAGAGATGAGATTGCCAGTTCTTGAACTGGGTAGTGCTTTTCCATTAATGATTCTAATAAAATTGAGTATATCCCCCCAAGGCCAGCTCCGATGAAAAGATTCACCATAATAACTAATTGAAATGGTAGAAATTCAAAAGCTAAATTCTCAGCAATCAAAAACAAAAAACCTAAACTAATAGTAAATTTGATAAATGTATCATATGTTTATTATAACCCTTTTTGAGTTTAAGAATTAAGCTTATAAGAACATATTAAAGCAGCAATTAATTATCCAACAGAAAAAGTAACATAGGTTAAGCAAATCTCTTCAGGCGTATAATCCACATAATATTATTAATTCCCAAATAATACAATATAGCACCAACTTATACCAATAACTAAGGAGATTAGTCAAGAAAATACATGTTGATACAGAAGCAATATCCAAAAATGTTTCCTTTTGAGAACAAATCTTTCTTAGGGACGTCCAAATAGAATCTCTAATTTAGACCTTATCTAAGGAATTACGTGGAGATTTGAGTGATATTAAACTAATTATGATAGTTGAAGTAGCAAAAACAGCATTAACAAAAACAAGATTTTCATATCGAGTATTAAACTCAACTTCATCATCCTAATTTACTAAATATCTAAATACTATTCCAAAGAAGTAATAAAATGAAACCACGTATCCTATTAAACATCCTACATTATTTGCATATTGTCCCACAAATGTAGTAAATATACGCTCATCTGAATCAAACCAAATTTTTGATAAGTCTATTTTTTATTTAATTTGATACACAAAGGAGTTTAGCAATAAAAGGCTTCTCCAATTCCTAAAAATGCAAATCCTAGCATCCCTAATGAAAAATCTCTTTTAACAGAGACCAAAATCCACAATCCTATTGATGAACATATGCAGCTTAAAATCTACGATAGACCATAGTTATAAATTATTATTGCATTGAAAGGAAAACAAAATAAAATTGGACCAATAAAATACCAACCCACTAGCCAGTTTAAATCATAATCATTTGTATTATAATAAATAGCTACTTAGTACCAGATAGGGGAAACAATAGTCGACAACATAATATTGGAAATTCTAAATAGAACAATATGAATACGAATTTAGACACAGACTCCCAAGAACTAATAGTTTAAATATTTTAGCATTCCATGTCCCTCTATCTTGCTGTTGTATTGGCTGAATTTTTCTCATTTTCAAAAAGTGTAGATGTAATGCTTTGATTTAAATAAATAAATATTTCAAAATTGATGATCTTAATTGATTTAATTTAAATATAATTAATCAATAAAGTTCACAATTTGGTGAGGTCGATGTCGCATTCAATAGGAACGTGATCGCTTCCTATAATTGTAGTGCTGATATCCGATTGTATAACTGAACCAATGGCTTCTTGATTAACTAGAAAATAATCGATTCTCCATCCCTTGTTGGTCTCCCTTTTAATATTGTGATTTATTTCTCACCTTGAATTGAATCTTGGACTAAAATAACTATATTTAATCTCTTTAGGATGTAAATGTCTGAATGTATCAATCCATCCTTTCGATAGAAACTTTGAAAAAGAATCCCTCTCCTCTTAAGTAAACCTTTAATCTTAAATAACTAAATTACCCTGCACTTCTTTTATTTCCCTCAGGATTGGCTAAATCTATTTCTGTATGAGATACATTTAGATCTCCACATATAATAGTGTTCTTGGTCTATTTTAATTAATCAAGATAATTCTAAAAATCAACATCCCATTCTTATGTTCTATAATTCAACCTATCCAGCTTATCCCCAGAATTAGGAATATAGCATGCCACTAGATTGAATTTCTCAAATTCAGCTGTAATGATTCTTCCTTCTTAGTCATGCTTTTCAATTCCCATGTCGTATTTTATTGAAATAGGTTTCACTCTATGAAATGCATAGGATTAAATACTTGGATAATATAGCGACACCGCTGTATCCTGCCTTGATTTTACAAAAATTTAGATAAGCATAATAATCTTTAGGTAATTTAGTAATTAAATTTTCTTTTTCAAATGCTTCTTGAGCAACCTTTAATTCATTTAAACAAATGATGTCAAACTAATTTTTCAAATTTCAGCATACTTTCTTATCATTTAAATATGATACTGCACTTTCTTTTTTAGATGAAGCTCTAAGTCCATTAATGTTCCAACTTGAGATTTTCAATTTATCCTATGAAAATATTCCATCTCCCAAGTCTAACTTCTTTTATGTTAAATCAACTATTTATCCTTTCTTATCTACTAATTTGAGAGTTTATTGTTTTAAAATTTTTGGATTACCTTTTTTCTCATTTTTAAGTTTAGGTGCTTCCTTTTAATTTTGGCTTTTGCTCTTATTCTCCTTCTATACATTCTCATTTTAATTAGAATCAGTAGCTTTTGAATTTAAAGCACAAAAAATACTTATTTTTGGAGGCATTTTACTAATTTTAAATAAATGAGTGTGTTTGATTAGATTTCTGGCTATTTGTAGCATTGAATTTTAATCTCTTAATTTAATTACCTATTGTCTTATTCAATTTATTAATTAGAATATATAATTAAAGATTTAATGATTTTGCATTGTTTTCTATTTTCAATATTATTTTAGAATGTTTTAATAAGAGATTAAGGATTCATAATATCTATATATATAGTTTTAATGTGGTTTATTAGAGAACTCATTTATCTTATTATAAATAAGCCATTCTTTAGGTGGCACGACATGCTTCGAGTTCAGCCTAAGCGAAACATAATTATTCTTGGCATTTATGGTACTTCTCATTTAAATCTTGGAAATTTCTTCTCCAATCCAAATTTTCACTATGATATGAGTCTTATAATTCTTAATTTTTGATAATAATGATTCTGTTCAATCTTTCAATTTCCTTGTATGCTTAATCCAGAGCTTGTTTTTGGTTTCTATTTTCCTCATTCAATTATCTATTAAATAGAGTGACCTATTGTAATTCGTTATAAATATTCTCAACTTGTTTGCTTTGTTATTGTAAGGAGTTCTCTTTGTCTCTAAAAATTAACATATTAATACTCTAAAATCTATGTAAGTACATTGATTTAGCTGACCAATTGATCTATGTTTTTTTCTTGTTCCCTAAGTTTACTATTAGAACCGATATTGTCTCGTTAAGTTGATTGAGTCATCTATAATTATTCTTGCAAATAATAGATGGTTTTTTGTTTAGTGATTAATTCATTCCGCAAATCTTCAACCAATTTCTAGATTGCAATCAATTCTTAAGCTAATTATTTTTAATCGTTCTATCGTAAAACCTATTCATTATTGTCATTGTATTTATTTAATTATAAATTATGAAGTCTCTCGATTTCCATGCTCATAGTTACTACTTTATCATTGGAGTCTTTCAACAGAGTTTGATATTGAATGCTGTTTTCTCGAAATTTAATTTCCAGCTCTTGAATTCTCAATTTGTAATCTTCATTTTGCTGCCTCAAAATCTTGATATCATTAGTGAATAGTTATTCATTTTGCACTATAAATGAGTTTAGAAAGGTTACCTCTTTAATTGATTTCGCATTATAACTACATTTCCAATTAGGAAGATCTCTATCTTTCTTATTGGATCTCAAAACGCAAATATTAGACTTCTGCTTTTTCTTAGCAAGGTTGGAGAACCTGATTTTCTAATTAGTCAGTTTTAAAAGTAAGATTTGGAGAGAATGGTCTGATTTAACTATTGAGTGCAGGTGTGTTTCCTTTTCTCATTGATCTACTCATTTTAACAGTTAAATATAAATTAATATTAAATAATGTATATAAGGATTCAATATTAGGAGAGGGGAGAATTTATTTAGTTTCCTAAATTAAGATTGGATTGATATTATTAATTAAATTGATTTAATCAATTTAGATTGGTTTACAAATCGGAAAAAATCTAAATTGATTATAAGTAAATAATTTAAAAAAATAATATTAAAACAATGAGTAATGGATCTGTGAAAGACATATTGAAGGATAAAAAGAAGGTTAGATTTGTTGCTGAGAGTGCTTTTAAGCAAGTTGATAAAGATGGTAAATTATGAGAATTAATTTAAAACAGGTAGTGGTTATCTTGAAAGACCAGAACTCGAAGAGGTGATGAATAATGTTGCAGCAGATTTGGGAGTCGAAGTAAGTATCACAAGTATTACATTGTAGCCACCCACAAGTGAGGAAATAGATGAAGTATTAAAAGAATTAGATGAAAATGGAGATGGAAAATTGTCTATTGATGAATTTTAAGTTTTAATCGAATAGGTTCTAGAGATGATGGCAAAGGTCGAAGGTTGATTTAAATTAAGATGCACATTTCTTATTAATTTTAATATTCACTGTTTGTTTCTCAACAATACTCCATTCAATTAGATAGGGAATTTATTATTATTATAAGTATATATATTCATTATAATATTTTATATATGTGTGATGTTATTAAAAAATTAAGAATAATTTCTAAAACTTAATTAGATTGCTTTAATTTTATTTCTACATCGTATTATCAATATATTGGGGCATATAAATGTAAATCTTTTCGGAAGGATTTTTGATAAAATAATTAACCAATTTAAGCAATGTCCTTCTACCCTGGCTATCCTGGTTATCCCTATGCAGCACCCCTCACAACCTCAGTTGCCGCTCCATTGACATATGCTCCACCAGTCTCCTATGCCCCTCAATTGTCATATGCCGCACCCTTGTAATATGCAAGACCTGTCACTCAATCCATTGTTTAACCAGTCGTAACACAACCTGTGGCTGTTCAACCAGTTTTACAACAATCCGTTATCGCATAACCAGTTGTGGCCCAACCTGTTCAACCATCAATCAAAGGAGAATCAAGAGTAGAGTACAGAGAGTACTAAAGACCAGTTGTAGAGATGGAAACTGAGACTGTTCAGGTGCAAGTCCCCAAAACGAAATATGTCACAGATTATTACCCAGTTGAATATTAAACCGAATACATCCCTAGAACAGTCTATGAACAATAAACTGAATATGTCCCAGTCACTAAAACGGTCCCAAGAGTAGAATACGAGGCTGTTGAAAGAGAAGTGCAAAGAGTATATAATTTGAATAATCCTTTAGCCTCAACCCGTTGTTGTCCAATAACCCGTAGTCCAATAGGTTGTTCAATAACCCGTTGTGTAATAAGTCGTGCCATAGCCAATTGTTCAATCTGTAGTCTAATAACCTGTTGTCTAATAACCATTGTCATATTCCTTGGTCAGACCAGCCCCCACTTATACTGCCCCAGTTGCTTATTCAAGTGTGGCTCCAGTGGCTGCCTATCCAGGTTATTATGGAGGATACAGACCTTTCTGAGATCATTTTAGATTCAGCATATAATATAATATAAAAATTGTATATTGTCCAAATGACTTACTTGGAACATCCCCCGTTGTTTAATAAAAAACATTATAAAAAGCAGCGAAGTTATCATCAAATCAATAGAATATCACTTAATTTAATTTTATCATTGGTGCAAATTTTAATGATTAATTTATATGTTTTCAGACATGGTTAGTCCATTTATTAATGTCTGAGAGTTATTTCTGGGCTTCATGAATTTGGTTTGAGTGCACTTGGCAAATATTAGACATACAATCTGGCATCAAGGACTGATGTTGATTTTGAAATTGCCTACATATCAGACACCAAGAGAACGATTGAAACATTTGAAATGCTAAAATTAGCAGGGAAGATGCCATCAGAAGAAAATTGCATCTTCACTCCTCTCATAAGAGAAAAATGCTAAGGCGATTTTATTATGCAAGAATTCAAGGCATTCCCTGTAATAATTATTGAAAAATATAGGATGATCCAAACAAGAGAAATTTTACTCCTTAGAATGGAGAGAGTTGGGAAGATGTTCAAGTAAGAGTATCTAAAACCTTTGATTTTCTTGTTAGACGCTATCTGCTTTAATAAAAGGAGGCAAAACAAGATGATGATGAACTTGTCAAAGCATTATTTCAACAATCAGAACATATCGAAAGCAAAAAGAACAATATCATTCTAGTCACTCATTATGGATTCATCAAAGAAATCGTATAATATCTTAAAAAGGCTGATCAATTATAACTAGAATAGCCATATTTTGCATAAAATGCTACTCTTTTCACTTTATAATTATTTCTAAAAGAAAACGAAAATTGGCAAGCCAAAATTATCAGTCTCAATAGCTACACTAGATAATACAGACCTTTTATGGATTGATTGTAAATAATGTTCCATAATCAATATATATTATGCAGTGAAATTTTCTATTATCATACAACTCTACCCATCAATTCATGTTTGTTTGCCTACTCTCTTAATTTATCCAACTCTCTTTGATCTTCTCTCTTTTGTTGCATTCTTAAATCGACTTCTCTCAATTTATCTCTAATTTATTCCCTTCTAAATTCTTCAAACTATCTTTGATGTTTAATCGCATCTTATTAATCAAGTCGTTTCTTCAGTTTCTCATAAGCTTATTATTGATATAAAGTTTCTTATTCTCTCTTCACTCTTTATATCTACGAATTATACAAGCTATTACTTTTTCATCTTAATCCTATAATTTCATAAGATACTGCTATCTTTTCTCCTCCAATTATTATATATTCATTTTCCTTACTTTTTCTCTGTATTTCGCTCTTCTCTCTGCCTACTATTTCACAAACTCATCCTTTGCTCCTGATTCACTTCTTTATTACAATCTATATTAAATCTCTTATTCCCTCTCAGCATACTGTCTTCTAAATTCCTCATGCATTTATTCTTTCATTCTAGCAGTATTTCTGATCTTTTCATTTTTCATTTTATTCTTCTCCTCTATGGTCAACTATCTTTATTGAAGTTGTTCTTAAAATTTATGTTGCTACTCTGCAATCCTTTCCTCTTTCTTAAAATAATCCTCTCTTAATTTCTTTTAAAATTCTATTTAACTTCTTTATGCTTCTCTCTATCGAATTTTAGCAGATTATGCCCTTTTCTAAGCATTAATTCTTTTTTGATCTTGTTACGATTAAAAGAATTCTTATCTTCGAAGCTCTTGTTCTTCTTCCTCTTATTTCCTTTGATTGTACTCTAGTTCAGCTTGTTTCTCTTTCATTTTTCTTTCTCTCTCTAATTTTTATTTTAATTCCTATTATTATTGTTCTTTATTTGCTGCTTCGGCTTGTCTTTACTATTCTTCAATCTATTATTATTATAGTCTTTATTATTCTTTTTGAAAATATTCCTATTACAATTAACGATTTTTCTTTTACTCTTCTAGTTCCTTCAATCTCTTTTATCTAGCTATGGTCTCCTATTTTGCCTAGAATTCTAATTGTCTTTACTCCTGTTGTTTCTTCCTTTGTTCTTCAAATAACTGCATCTTTTCCTACTGTTATTAATTTTACTGTTCACGCTTTATCATTAACTCTTATAAATGTCTTTACCTCATCATTTCCATATACTTCCTCTTCTATACTTAGTCCATGAATTTCGATGCATTTGAACTACTCAGAGGTCTCTCTCCCTTCCCTTTAGGGATATTAGATTCAATTTTTTTTCTTTTTTCTTTTTCAATCAAAGCTTCTCTATCCTTTATTAACATATAAACTTTTTATTGTCTTCTATATTCATAATGTTTATAGAAGTCATCTAAGTTCTCATCCTGTAATGATTTTTCTTATTTTAGCATCAGTCCCAACTTCTCTTTATTAATAAACAGTAGCTCCTCTTATGTCATCCCTCTCTACTTTAAGACCATAATCGAACGAGGACTGTTGATTCTGCACCTCTAATCGGCTGGATTGAAATTTATTAAAGAAATCATTTAATATTAAAAAAAATGAAGAGACTCTTTTATATTGAAATCACTCTTGTTTAGTTGTATAATTAAAAAACATTACGAATTTCTTTGTTTATATGAATATTATTTGAGTTTGCAAACCAGAACCACTATTAAATACGTGAATTTTCAATAGTGCATTATGCCTATCTAAAATAAAATTCAAATTTCTATTACAAAATGCATTTATTTTAGTATTTTAATTGTACCATGTGATATTGAATTAATGATGTTCTAAACTATAAAATGTATAAATAATTTCCATTATTATTTTATTGATTATCATACATAAGAATGAAAAATGAGTTAAATACTTTATTCAATGAAGGAAGAAGTAAAAAGCGTGATCCTACTAATATCGATATCAGATTCATGAATCTTTTTAATCGATTGATAGCATAATTAAAGATGATTGGGAGAATCTGTGAAAAAGGACAGTTCATTTATTACGAGAAGGATATATTTGGAAATAGAACTGAATTTGATGATGATTTCCTAAGACTTTTAACCATAAGTTAATGGAATCACTTTTTAATTTTAAACATGGAAGTTGTGTTACTCAAACCTGACTAGCAAATGTTATCGTTTAGCAAAGTAATATTCCTTATATAATACACTTAGAAAATAGACATAATCTAACATTTTCTAATGTCCTCCGTGAATTCAGAATCAAAGGGATTAAGTTTTTACTCCCATTTGGACTAAATATATGCCAAATACACTATTTATTTGCCAGATGCAATTACAGTAGAGAAGATGGGGAGTGATGAAAGAAATAGCATGATTTATAATATTGAAGAACGTCATAGGATGATGGAGTAGTAGATAATGTCTTATAAAGATTAATTGCTTTCTGCTCTTGATTTAGACGATTAAGAAATCAAAGACTGTTTTCCATAACATCTTTAATTATATCACAACTACATAGAAGATAGTGTTTAGATTGACTTTGATTCAAATTAACAATATGAAAGCGTAATAGCAAGGGAATGTGAAATATATTTGGATCAAATATAGATTGATGGTGGAGAACAAAAGAATATCAATACTCAATCAGAAACGGATCAAGAAATAGCTAATAATGGCAATAATAAAGGACAACTTCTTCAAAAATTAAATTACGAAGTAAAAGTGTATAGTGTCGAAACTAGGGTTGGTCTACATAATTAAGGACATTTTAGAAACTATTAGGAAATACTTGGGGGGGAATTGTTTCAGGAATTTTAGAGAAAACCTATTTCTAAATAGCTTTAAATACAATTAGATTTTGAAGAATTTGTTTACCCTAAATAGTTTTAAACACCATTAGAATTTGAAGACTCTATTTACATCCCCTTAGCTGATCCTCGATAGAAAAATGTTTTATAAGAGGAATTGCCTGATGTAGACATATCAATACTGAGGAAATTCTTAATATTAAGAGAAGCTATGGTTACAATTAATGAAAATCAAAAGCAGCTTGCTAACCCTAAGTTTAAAGGCAAATTTTCTGTCTTGATAAAGATCAGATTTTGCAATGCATTAGGTTCGAGACCAATTTTTATTATGCGGAAGATAAAAAAAGAAAAAAAATCAATAGACTAGAATGCAATTCTAGTAGACAATTACAAAATCATAAAAAATTTGATGAATGTTCTATTTTTTAAGGATAGATATGATGATGAAATAAAGCCTATTCATAATTTATGTTAAGAGTTTCTGCACAGTTTTTGTGACCGCGAACCTCAAAATTCTGAGGATGATGATTAAGAATCTCAAGATTCTCATTATGTACCTGAGAATCTTCCAGATATTGAGAAATATTTGCGTAAATTAGAAACACTAATTCTTTTAATTAAAACAATATATCGTGTACCTTTTTGAAGAATTGATTTAGGATCAGATAATGTATTTTTATTTTATTATATAATTTAATTTATAATTGTCACCCATGAATTTATTAATGGAAGGCGATGAATAAAAACGATAATGTCTAAAATGTTAAAACTATTTTATTGGTAATAAGTATTTAGACCATGAAAAAGTGTGCAACTAACAATAGGTTGGGTGGTAAAATTAAAATTATTAAAATATGAATGATAATGAGAGAATGGCAAACTAATAAAACAACCTGATGTATAGATAATAAATACAAAATACTAACCAATTTGAATAATTGTTTTAGAATTAACAAATTCTAAGAAAATGTGAATATTGTAATGATGATTACCCTTTGGAAATATTAGATTTGCACGTATAATAATGTGATGCAAGAAAAGAGCATTAGAATTTATTGCAATCTGTGTGTCCATCTTAGGTTTTTTCTTCAAATACTCAGAGTAATTGCTAAGATGAAGACGGATAATAAAAACTCGAAATTCTGAGAAGCTATTTTGAATTAATGGAAAAACATGGAGAAATAATAGTAAAAGGAGAAGAATTAGTGAAAATATCAAATTTTTCAATTGAACCTTTCGCAAAAACCTTTGAAAAAACAAAGTGCCAATCTTGCAACATAAACTTTAATTTAGATGAAGAAATATTAATTATGAAATGCTGCTATTAAATTTATCACCATATTTGCTTTTCCTAAATTATCAATTTGACTAATAACTGCGAGTGCGGAAAAAAGATTATTGATTGATATATTGCAGTAATTAATTTTAAGAATTTTACATATTAACTGAACAATTAATTTAGTTGTGATAACTTAAGAACCGTATTATTGTAATCATAGTCAATTATCTTCTTCATATGCCATCTCCTATTAAGTAACATCAGTTTTGCAAATAGGACAAGTACTTTGATTTTTAAACCATTCCGAAATACATTTCTTATGGAATCTATGTATGCAAGGAAGGAGAATTAATTCCTCACCATCTTCATAATTATTAATACATATTGTGCATTGCTTATACTCCTATGAAAGACCATCATATGGTACATATTTGATAATTGCTAAATTTTCTAACCCTTAATTTTGATGATGATGCTAAAGAGTCCTATTATATTGATTGAATTTACATCATTGGCATTGGTATGAGTGAAAATCTGCTTCTTCTTTAATTCATAAAAAAAGGATTACGTAAAAATTAATCCAAGATGTTTAAATATGAATTCTATTGGTTCGTGCTTCTCCTCGGATAATTCATTGGAATTGAAGGTATTTACTACATTTATTATTATTATGATGATTATGATGAAGTTTGAGTAATGATTTATTTTTTAATAACTTATCCTGTATCTAAATTTGTGGTAGTGAAAATTTTTTAAATTGATCCATTTGGTTGGACTATTACTTAAGTTGTAGTGATTATATTCTAATTTCTATTTTATGATTAATGGGTGTAAATATCATCTTGATAGTCACTTTGATGTTAATTAAAATGATAATTGTTATTATTATTCTATTACTCGTAGGTGTTTTCAATTTGATCATCTTCGATAGACATTTATTCGATTACCTTTTTGGCCTCACATTGAGGATAATGTTCTTCTAAAATTTGCGTAGGGTATTCTTAATCACAGTATTCGCATTTCTTCTATGCTTGTTTCAATAATGACTCAGTATATTAATTACGATTCTATTAACGCACCCTTTGCGCATCGGAAGCACTTATTTATTATTCTGGATAATTAGAGCTTCTTCGATTGTTCATCATCGAATTTTAATTGGAGTTGTTATCTTATTCAGAAGGATAAATGTGTGATTCGACATACTGAACAGGATTTCTTAGGGAACTTTATTGCACTCTTGATTGCTATTGAGGATTGTTTTAAGATTATAATTGAGACCGATTTTCTGAGATTCTAGATTGGATTTCAGACTAGTAATTGGGATGGTTTTACAGATTGCACTCTAATTTATGTGCGTACATCTGACATTGATGTATTCTTTGCTTGCAATATTTACATCTCACATAATCTTGATTTTCAGATTACATTCTATTATTACAATAATTAATTAGTTTGAAATTGTTCTAATTTAGTTTTGGATGTCAGATATTTTTCATAATAGAATTAATTTGAAATATTGCTGCTTAAATTCATATCAATTATCTTTATTTGTGTTTAATTGTTAATTGAGAGTGCGTATTGTCAATTTGTAAAATTTAATTCAGAATTCATCAAATAAATTAAATTTACAAAGATGGTTGAAAAATCTACAATGAGATGGCTATGTGCTGTTTGTACTTGCTGTTTGTGGCTCAATTATTATAGCTTTTTAAATAATTGCGTTAGAGGGTGTTAAATTTGTATAGATGGTAAATTGGATTATTATATATTTCAAGTATTTGATGCAACTGCTTCAGCTGTTTGGAAGGGCATATTCTGTATATTTATGTGTTGTTGTTTTGGATTTGAATGTGTGGCATGTGTGTTGTGTATCTACTCTTGCATTGAACTATTTAATGATCCATGTTAAAGATATTAGGCTGAAGATTCATGGATCAATGCTTTTTGGCAGTTGGTGTATCTGAAGGATCTAGAAATAGAAGGAACAGTTAGAGAGAAACTTAAAGAGCTCTTTGCTAAATGATAAAATCAATAATATATATAATAGATTGCACGTTCATTCATATTTTAACTCCGCTTGATTTATATACACTAATTTATTACTTAGAAGATATTGAAATAAGTTATAAAAGCAATGCAATTAAGTAAAAGTCTGAATAATAATTAACTCATTCTAATTTGTACTGTTATTAAAATTGTGCTTGTTTCATTGTTATTGGGTTGCATTTCTCATAATCTGTTGAGAACTTTTTTCTCTCCTCAAAGTAATTCAAACAAAGGGCTGATTCCGTATGAGTAACCTTGGATTCAAATCTAAAATATAGATAACTTCCAACACAAATACAAGATATTATCATATTTATAATATGCAGAATTAGGTTACTGTAAGTTCTAATCAAAACAAATTAATAACAGGCTGATCCAGCAGATATCAAAATAGGTGATATTCCTAATAATTGGAGAGTAGAATCATTTAAATTTCTATTTATGGTTGGTGGATAAGAACATCTTCTTAACAGTGTATATTTGCATGCCCAATAATATAGAAACAATGATACTATCTACAGCATCATTCCATATGGAAATATGCATACATAGAACATACTCATCAAAATACTTTTAAAAATAGTAGAATATTTGTCGGCTATTCTGTAATCAGGACCCTCAAATAGTTCATGGGTTTATTGTTGAGTTAGAATGATCTATCTTTTATCTTATTCCTTCAGGATTTGATTCTATTTGATTAATTTAATGATATATAATGGATCGAAGATTTCTAAGATCGGCAAAATGATTAGATTGCCTAAAAATATAAAAAATAGACTGACAGCTAAATTATTCTAATCAAAATCAGTAAATATAAATAATCCAAAAGGCACAAGAGCTGTATTTATGAATTGCATTATAGTTTGAGTTACCATCACACTTCTGGTTTCATTTGTATAAGTAGTATGCTTCTCATATTTTGAAGTGATTTTAATCAGCAACTCCAAAATTTGATTAATAATTAAAATTGCTAAAGCACACAAAGCTGACAAAACGTATTTTACATAAAATGAATCACTACTCTTTGTTTAATTTTGAGTATATGAAATTCCATAAACAACAAAGGCCCCAACTAGAACAACAAGAAAGTTTAAACTTAAAGCCAATAATCTTTTGCATCTTTTTTCCGAATGACTTGTATTGAAATTTTACCAAATAATATCTAAAGGCTCAGGTGCTCTTCTTATATAAATTCTTTGTCCATTTATAAATTTCCATTGCTATTTATCATTATTCAAATAATAAAGCAGTTTATCACAACACCCAACTTAATCCATCATTACTTCATACCATCGACTTTAGTTACATGTTTCTAGAATTTAATCAACTAGATTTTCCTCCTATAATGTTACTAAAACATAATCGGTTCTTTGATATAAATTATTGAGAGTGACTTATTATTCAAATAGAGAAATCTATTTGTCTAACACTTAGATATCGAGCATTAACTTATTTAGGATATCATTTTTCTCTCTGACTTCTTGTGGTCGTGTCATCAATGCATAGATTCTCTGTTATTCTTACAACTTTTCATTCTTCTTCTTCTAATCGTTCATGTAATCTTGAATATTTAAAGGACGTATTATTTTAACTATGGATGATGGGTTAATGTTGAAGTATTTCATAAAATATTACTCAATCTGCTGTCTCTCATGAATGTAAGGATAGTTTCTTAATAATATTGTAAAATCACTTGGTGAACTATTAATAGAGTAATGAAGATTTCTTTATTAGAACCATTTAATTAAGAATAACCCACCTGTCACAAGGAATGTTCCAAGGAATGCTAATACGGCCTGAATGGTTAATTATAATTCCGTTTTATTTACAGTGTATGCCACTCCTATAAAATGGTAACATCCTTATTCTTCATTCTCTTGGCTATCCATCAAATTAAAATGATATTCCTTGTAACATAAGTCAGAAGTAGTGATGATATTGTATATTCCGACGAGAACGAAGATTAGTAGTAATAGAATAGAATATAGTTTGATTGATTGAAAGAATAAAGGGATTCCCTCACCTAAAATAAATCGATACATCTACCTAAAAACTGCAATCTGATGATGTCCTCACATACTCCAATTGGTATTTTATTAATTGCCATATTGCAACATGGACAATATTCCTATTCATTTTGAGTCTAATATCCAACTTATTTTGCCTTGGCATGAGCTTAGGCTAAACCTAACATATTTGTAGATTGAGTAATTACTGAAATCTGGAGGCAGAGCATAAGGGTTGTATTGTTTGTTTTAATTCATTAAAATAATATATCCCAAATCCACCAATCAAATGAGAGGTTCGATGTTTTTTGTGTGCCAATTTTTGAGTCACATTTTTTATATTAAAAATGGCAAGAACTAAATAAACTGCAAGAAAGAGCACTGCTGGTAACAAAAAGCCAACAAAACATTTGGCCACAAAAGCAGCCAGAAAAACTGCTCCAGCTGTTGGTGCTGCTGGAGGTTTGAAGAAGCCACACAAATTTAGACCAGGAACTGTTGCTTTAAGAGAAATTCGTAAATATCAAAAATCAACCGAATTGTTGATCAGAAAATTACCATTCTAAAGATTAGTTAGAGAAATTGCTCACGAATTCCAAAAGGAACTCAGATTCTAAAGCTCTGCCGTCTTGGCCCTCCAAGAAGCAGCCGAAGCCTACCTTGTTGGATTATTTGAAGACACAAACTTATGTGCAATCCATGCTAGAAGAGTCACAATCATGTCAAGAGACATCCAATTAGCTAGAAGAATCAGAGGAGAAAGATTCTGATATTTTTATTAAGGAAAATTATTATATAACATTTTCATAATGCTATAAATTTACATTCCAATTCTGTAGATTTTCACCTTTTTACAATGTTCCATCTATAATCCACTCCAGACTGGTTGACATTTCAAGTAGATTAGAACCATTATATTTCTAAATAATATAGAAAAGCATTATATATAAATAATTCATGCAAATTAATATTTAAACACAATATAGTGTAATTGTATTAAATTTATAACTAATTGCTCAGAATATGTACTTTGAATGTCCTTGCTCTTTTAGAAAAGAATTAGAATAAGAGAGTTAAATCATTCGACACATTGATAGTTGTTAGGAATTTAATAGTGACAGTCCCCTCTGCAATATGTACAAAAGAGGAAATGTTGAAGAAATACCAATTGAACAACTAGTAACCTTCTTATGCGATCTAAAATTACAAGTTGAGAGAATAGAGAATGTCTTAAATAGAAGTATAACAAAATAATTATGCTTTATAGGAGGCTATAGAAAATAAATAATACCAATTATTGAAGACTTAAATTTTGATCATTCTTCCAAATAGAATTCCAGTTCTCAAATCAAATAAAATAATGTTGCAGTTAAATAAAATAGTATTGTACTAAGATTTCGTTCAAAAAACAAATCAAATGTGTAATAGCCATTTAAAATTGATTTAGGAGATCTGAATTAAAATAATAATAAAACTTCTTCTTCTCTTTTCTCACCTCATCATTTTGAAGATGATAAAAGTTCAAATAATCTAACAACTCGTGAACCAAATAGTATAATTTAAGAACAATCAAAAATTAATAGTTTCTAACAATAAGATTAAAAACTAGCATGTGAAGCTTGTAGAAAACCCTTTTATTTTAATCAAGATTTTGGAAAACTATGGTTCTTAGAGAATTGTGGACATGTCATGTGTAAATTTTGTATTCATCGATTGGCAAGAGAAGATTATATTGAAAATGGTGGAAAAATTATGTGTAAGGAGATTGGATGCAATGCTTATATGAGACAATTCGAACTAAAAGAAGTACTTGGAATTGATATGTTTAATGATTTGGATAAAAGATTAGCACTTAAAAAATAAAATATAGTTGAATGCATTAAATGCCAATTTCAATTCTCCTTTGATAAGGACACTTCGTAGGAATTAGATAAAGGTTAATAGGGTAAAAATATCAGTGGTGAGGCTTTAATTAAGGATAATAATAGATTTATTTGTGAATAATGTCAGACTGAACAATGTAGAGAATGTAATGCGGTTCCATATCATATTGGTATGACTTGTTAATTATACAAGAATATGTAGTATAAAAATAAATGTATTCTTTGTGATTTGCCTTGTGAAGGAAAAGTCTGTAATAAAGAGTATTGTTAAAGGAGAATTTAAAGATTGTGTCAAAATACATTAGATTGTAGTCATAGTTGTTATGGAGTCTAGGGAGAAGAATGCGTATGTTTACTTTGCTCTAATTAAGAACCAAACGACTATTGTAATATCTGTTTTACTGAACCCTTAAAGTTTGGTCCCTGTGTTAAAACAGAATGCGGTCATATCTTCCATGAAGAATGCATTTTGAAAAAATTAGATGCTAAATGGGTACAACCTAGGATTTCGTTTTAATATTGTACATGTCCTATATGCAAGAAATGGTTGAATGTCAAGCATCAAAAGATTTAGTTAAAATTAAATGAAGCTTTATAATTAAAATCATAGATATAGGAACTATGCTTAGAAAGATTAGATATAGAAGGAATGAAATAAGCACAAGAATTAAGAGATCCTAAAAGTTATTATTATTAAAACCCTTAAGAATTTGGAATGGATAAGTTTTGTTTTTATGAATGTTTTAAATGCAATAATCCTTATTTCGGAGGAATCAAAAATAGTTAAGCAGGTGCGGAGAACTATGGCAGAATCTAATTCAATAAGGAAGATCTAATATGTTCAGGTTGCTGCCCCATCTCTTTTGAAGCTAAATGTAATAAGCATGGTTATAAATACGTTGAATTTAAATGCAGATTCTGTTGTTCTGTTGCTGCTTGGTTTTGTTTGTATTTATCAAATCTAAATTTAGAGGAAAAATCCATTATTGTGAAACTTGCCATAGTGGAAGCAATCCGAACATCAACAAACCTTGTCCTGGGCCAGAAAAATGTCCATTAGGTATTGATCATATGCCTACTGGACAGGAAAATGCCTTGGGATGCGCACTTTGTAGAACTAAATGATTGGGTGTTATTCTTAATAAAAATGATTTATAGTATTAGTATATTTGCTTAAATTTATAGCAATTTCAATATTAATACTATTTTCATATCTATAGAATAGTAAAACTATTTGATGATGTGGTATTAATAATACAATTTAATGTTAATTCTTTTCAAGATTTAAGCCAACATTTATTGGAAATAGCAAATGGAATGAATAATGCAGACTGAATCATTATTGATTAATTCTAAGGTTTTATTAAATAAATATGCGTTCGAATTATGCAACAAATACAGAGAATGGGTCTGCAGCTAAGCCATAACAATATTTTGAGGGTAATAGAAAGGGAGAAGTGAATGAATTGAAAATGTATCAATATATTCATAGAATATAGATTGGTCAAGAATACAATTAATGAAAAGGATGACAAAAAGAAAAGAGAGGTAGTTAAGAAAGTGATTGCTTACATGACATTGGGTAGTATTAGATTCTAAATTAGGAATCGATGTTTCTAAATTATTCCCAGAAATGTGTATGGCTTCTTATACTAATGATTTGGTATAGAAAAAGATGATTTATTTGTATCTGACCACTTATGCTGAGTAGAACAAGGATATGGCATTCATGGCTATAAGTACATTTCAAAAGGATTGCAAACACAATGATCCTAAAATTCGTGGATTTGCATTGAGAAATCTGTGTTCGCTTAGATTTAGTGGTGCAATAGAATTTTTGATGCCTGCAATAAAGGAGGCATTATCAGATATTGATGCATATGTCAGAAAAACAGCTATTATGGGATGTGTGAAAGTGTTCTACATGCAACCAGAGCAATTAACTAATATCGAGGATTAATTGTATAAGATGATAAGTGATAATGATCCTCTCGTGATCATTAATGCCATTCATGCATTAAATGAGATATTAGCATAAGAAGGTGGTATGGCATTATCGAAAAAGATGGTTGATTACTTATTAGGGAGATTAAAAGAGTTTAATGAATGGGGATAGGCTACCATTTTGGATGAGCTATCTAAATACTCCCCAAAAGATGATAAGGAAATGTTCAACATCATGAATTTATTAGAGGAGAGACTGAAACATTCTTGTTCTGCAATTGTTTTAGGAGTTATTAAGATATTTATGAACTTTACTAAAAACAAACCTCAAATATATGAATAAGTTATCACCAGAGTCAAACTACCATTAGTCACTTTGGCTTCCATTAGTGAAGGCAACTTTGAAATAATGTATACTATTCTGTGTCACATCAAATATATTGCATCCAAAGGATATAACGCTGTATTTGCATCCGATTACAAATCCTTCTATTGCAGAGTTGATGAACCAACCTATATCAAATTAATTAAACTTGAAATTCTGTCATTGATTGCATGTGACTTTAATTTAGGAGACATGCTTAATGAATTAGGAGAATATGTTACTGATGTCGATCAAGAAATCTCTAAAAAATCAATATAAGCTTTAGGTTCTATTGCCATAAGATTACCCGACTTAGCGACTGCCATTGTAAAATAATTATCCTCCTTTGTTACTCTCTAAGATTACATCACAAATGAAGTCATTCTTGTGTTTAAAGATATCTTGAGAAAAGAACCTAAGCACATCAAAGATTGTTTGGAAATTATTCAATCTGATAACATTACAGACTCAAATTCAAAAATTGCATTGATTTATATTCTGGGTCAATTTGGAAGTCAAATCCCTTTGGCTCCATATATTCTAGAGACATACATAGGAGCCTAGGAATCAGTTGAATTAAAGCATACTCTCCTTACATCTTGTTTGAAAGTGTTTTTCGTTAGAGCACCAGAAATGCACTAAGTCTTGGGTAAGTTATTCTATGTAATCATTGATAATGAGAATGAAGATATAGATCTAAAAGATAGAGCTGCATTTTATTACAGAGCCTTAAATTCAAATCCAACTGAAGTCAAGTAACTTTGGCATAATAGCATCAAAGTTGATAAATTCCTTGAGGAAACTATCATAAATAAAGAAGCTCTTCTATTTGAATTTAATTCTCTGTCTGTCATCTATGAAAAAAATGTTAACAAATTCATCAAGCCAATTGAGTACTTCAATAATCTTAGAAACAAAGAATTGTAGGATCTAAACTAAGAATAGTAACAGACTCAAACAAGTGCTCCTTAGGAGTAGACCTCTGATGTTATCGAAAATCCACAATAGTAACCATATAGCTAGACTAATGATCTCCTTGAAATTTCTGATTAACCTCAATGGTAGAAGTATCTGAGTGTGGATAGTTTTATAGTCAATTTTACTATTGATGCAGATCATTTTGAGAATATGTGGACTAACTTAAATGACGGGTATCAATATAATCCTCTATATTAGTGCTACCTTTACAAGAATGTTGGCTCGAAATGATATTGCCAATGAAACTGCAATTGAATAATTATTCAAGTAATTTAGGCTGTATAATATTGCAGCAGGAGAAGAGGAGAATGTGTTGAAAATGTATTTCTATGGATCCCACTAATGCTAAGTCTTTTTTGAATTTGAGATTAACAAGAATCTTAGCACAGTTATATTAAATACCAGATCTGAAATCGAAGATCAAGCTTATTTAGCTTCTAAATATGTTGAAGATTTTCTTAAATAAGTTCATTTAATTGAATGAAAATATTATATTAAATATATGTATATGTTGAGTCATCTTTTTTAATTCTCTTGATTTTTCAAATACATTCTTTGCAAATTAAATTGCACAGATTGCATCCAACAAAAACAATTCAAAAATTGAAAAAATAATTTAATTAAACTAGAATCTTATATTCAAATTCGAATCATCTTGGTAATAACAGATTATGAGTTTTAATTTTATAAGGTAACAAATAATTATGGAGTTATTGTATTTTATTTATACATATATATATATTATGTCTTTTTAAAGGGATAACATATTAATAAAAGAAAATAGATTAAAACCAATTCAAAAGCGATTCATTGCAAAGAATTTGGTTATAAATGAGCCATAAACACAAAGTGACAGAAATATTTTCCAAGAAATCAATGATGAGTTTAATATTGATAAAGGTCCAAAGTATAATGAAAAGGGGGAAATCATCAAACACTCTATTTTAGGTAAGCCTGACTGGTTCAATAAAACAAAGTATGGTAAAAAATAAGCATAATTCGATGAATTTAATCTTCGATAACTTCCACAAAAATAATCGACTAAAATTGATTAAGATCAAAGATCCATGGCCAAGAGCGATATAAAAAGCTAATAGAAAGGGGGAGGTTCAGGAAAATTTAAAAAGGAGAAGAGAGATCAATTGACCACTAAAACTCAATTGCTTTAAGAATTGGAGAGGATTAAGGAGAGAATAGAAATGAATAACGATATAGAGGAAAGAAAATTGAAGTATATATTAAAGATTTAGTATAGAGAGTTATAACCTGTCGTTAGATCTAATGCTACAAAGTAAGAGAGAGTCATGGAAAAACATAATAGGATTGAATAATACTGGAATGATTTTACTTAAAAACAAGCAAATAAATTAGGCAGATTTCCTTCTGATTGTCAATTAATCCAAGCTGAAAATTATAGAACAAGATTAGAAGCTGCTGCAGCATTTGATGCTCTTAAAACTGATTATGAAAGATTTGGACCAAGAGTGTGGTAAATGACTCTTAGAAAACCTGACTAATCAAATGAAATGACAGTCAAAATGAAGGACACATAAATGATCGTAGAAAATGAAATCAAATATGATTTTATAGTGGTATTAATATTAAAGATATTCAGGGATCTGATTTGCCTAATGCTTTTACAGAATCGTCAGTGTGTGGACATAAGGGAGGTATAGAATATTATAGAAAACCAAATTTTCTACCTGATAGCAGTCAATTAACAATTTCCAGTAGATTTAGAAAATATACAGATTCTGATATGAATTAGAGTTCTTTACCTTTTAAGAGTTTTAGAAGTGAAGAATATTTGATGAAAAAGATTGAGAAGCAAAAAAGCTAGTTCAATTAATCGCACATGTTATCAATTGATAAGACTGATGGATACGATTAATTGATAATATTAGGAAAGAATTAGTATGAAGTAGAAAGGCAAATGTTGTTGAATGATGGCACAGATAACACGGGAGTATATCGTAAGAATATTGAAAAGATACCTGAGGAATTAACTAAAGAGTAGATTTACGAGCAGAATTTTACTGGAACATAGAGATTAATTTTGCCATAGATTTATAAGTCCTAAATTTCAAGGATTAAAAGATAAGGATCTGCCACTAGTAAAAGTTAGGATTCAAGGAGTAGTCAGGACTTTCAAACAGAAAATTAAACAGTTATATAATGAATAGAAAGATTTTGATTTTGTATTTCACATGATTAATATACTTATTTTATATGAAGCTTTTTCACTTTTTCTTGTTTCCTCCTTTAGCTTGAGCAGCTGCTTTTCCTCCAGCATTATTCTTTCTCAAAACTTTAAGTTAGGTACTGAGGAGTGCACTTCTCTATTTTAATAATTGAAAATAGCATTACTCTCTTTCTGAGAATCATAACTCTAAATCTATCAAAATCTGTTAATTTAGCTCTTAAAGCTTTCTTGGCAACTTTCTTGGCAGCAATAGTATTTTGATATTGTGCAAATGGGTCACTCTTTTTAATTGCCTTGGTAATCACACCAGTTCTAGCACCTCTGGTGGCACCTTTAAGATTGAATTTTGTAAGTGTCAATCTTCTGATTGGGATGACCTATCTTTAAACTCCTGTGGTGGGTCCATCAATGAGGACTCTCTTATCGTTGAGGATTTCAATGATGGTGGCCAATTTGCCTTCTTATGGACCATAGTTGATCTTGACAACTCTTCCAACTTCAACGAACTTTCCAAGCACCTAGAAAAATTAATGGATGTTCTTACCATCTCTAATAAAACAAATTTTTTTTATTATTTAAAAATCCTTTTAATCTTTTTAAAAAGAGGTGTTAAACTAATATAATATATATTATTAAAATATATTCAATCAACCAAAGCCCTCTCTTTTCTAAAAAATGCCTCAGTGTAATTCAGAGAATCATATATAGAATTCAAATTTGTTTATATAAATTTTATTTAGAATATAAATTTGTGACATATACTAATAATAATGTGATAATTTATATATACTACACCACTTTTTTAGTTAAGTTAATTTTTAGTATTATTTATTAAAGATCCTATTATTAATTTAATATTATGATAATAATCATTATTATCAATTCCAAACTATTACATATACCTTGATAACCATACCTTTGAAATGAACTTTATTAAAAAATAAATAGATTATATTAGAAAGTATATCTATTTAGAATAATTAGAGAGTAATTTAAAAGACAAATCAAATGGAATCTTATTATTCATTATAAAATAAGGAGTGTTCTCATCCAAATATGCACAATCATAGTAAATCAATTATAAAAATGAATCCAACAATGGAAGAGATTAATACTTAAATAAGTGGGGCAGTTATTGGTTCTCCTTTAATGTAAAGGAAAACCAGAAGATAAATTTAGACAATTCATTCTTTAAGCTATTTAGCCAGCATCGTTTACTAGTTTGAATATATATATCCCAATTATATTGAAACAGAGACTTTTATCTCTGGATCAAATTACTTTAAACAATTTATTATTTATTTTACATATTAAGTAAACCTAGGATTTAATCAATGCTAAAATAAATAAAGATTGAAAATAATATGGGAAGATGAAATAAGGGGAATTAAACTGAAATATTCGACAACATTTATTAGGATTATTATGAATAATAAAAAATATATAAATAAAATTATTAAATAGATATGTCTAGAACAAACAAATAGGTTGAGTAGTAGCCAGCACCAAACAAAAAGGTCTAAGCACCTGCCAAGCCTTAAAAGCCAAAGGAGAATTATTTGACTCCAGAGGAAATCAACGATTTGAGGGTAAGAGTGTTATAACCATAAAAAAGGAAACATTTGATTTGTTTGATGATGATAAGAGTGGCACAATTGATGCACACGAAATTAAAAAGGTGCTTGAAGATTTAGGCGTTGATGCTAGAAACAAGTTTGTGTATCAAATGGTTTAGGATTTGGAAAAGTATTCATTCACATTTTAATGTTAGTTTTGGAGGCTCAATTGATTTTGATACTTTTGTTAATATTATATCAGACAGATTGGGAAATAATAAAACAAAAGAAGGTGCATTCAAATTGTTCCAAATTTACGATCCTGAAGATACTGGGTTTATATATGAAGATATTTTAGATTCATTGATTTCACAAACCTTAAACGTGTGGCAAAGGAATTGGGTGAAACTCTAAATGATGATGAATTGCATGAAATGATCCATCACATTCACATTCTTAGAAAAACAGAGAGCCCAGAATAAATCTCATTTGATGAGTTTTACGAAATCATTACCGCTCCAAGAAGATATTGAGAAAATAAAATTACATATATTAAATCATCATTAGGCATATTATATATCTATATTTAAATATAATTCAAAATTTCAGGATAATGAGTAAGATAACAATTATTAAATACTTCAAATAATAATATATCAAATTAGTAAACAATTAGAAAATACATAATAAAATAATAAATTATTACTATTATATCATTTTAGATGTTTACATTACTTTATGAATAAGTATCTTTCCAAAATCAGAACTTTCAACTCTCGGGTATACGCTTTTTTGAAACTTTGCTGCTAATCTATCAAACTAGGTTTGAGTATGGAAAGGTCTATATTAATATTGTACAAAATCTATGAATTAAGAATCAAGATTAGAGTATAATTGAGACCTTATTATTATGAATATAACATTAATATTAACCATGAGAATTTATATCAATTTTAAGATTCTACAATGCCATCTGATTAAAAACATAGATTTCTATTTGTTAGATTTTGAGGAGATCCATCAAATTAAATGATTTGTGGTGAATGCTCTGCTTAAGGAGAGCAATCCAATTCTATTTTGCACTAAGATCTAAAAGGAGAAGATGATAATTGTAGAAATGGTAAATCCCTGTATGTTTGTGATGGTGGATCATCCTTTTATTTGATAGCTTCTTTAATAGTTAATTCTTCGACTTATCGATTTCTAATGTTCTTAACTTCCATTAATTCATTAATTTCATTTTCCAGTAATCCTTATCTACAAACTGGACAATTAGCTTATTTTGTTGTCCTTCAATAGAATATAAATATACCAATCTAACAAGCATTGTTCATGGAAATAGTGATTGCAAGGAGTCTTGCAATACTTCTCTTTTAATTCAAATTAGACCAAACAAACTGAGCAAGTATCAGTACTCATTTTCGTATCTACTTTTTAAGGTGGCATGTATTTCTTTAGTACTTTCCTATCTAATGCTGGTTTAATTTAGGTTAGTTTTTTGTATTATCGCTTATAATGACATAGTATTATTAGAAATAGCAATAGACCAAAGATTACAATAGATATCAAAAGTATCGTAGCCCAAATTGGAAAATCTTCATTTTTATCAGAAGCTCTATCTTTAATTTAGTATATGTACGTAATCGTGATTGTAATTTCTTGAATTTAAGTGGAATTGAAATTGTATAAACCAATAATGTATATACTTTCTTAACTATTTTCTGTTTTTGGTAATGAAATTTGATTTTCATCGTTGTTATAAGAGTCCAAAACTATGAGATTTTATAGAAATGATGGAAGTCTAGTAGCATTCTCTTTATTAAATGAAATGATTGAAATACCAAATAAGGATTCACCATTTTGTACGTAGATCTGGAAATAATTAAATAGCAATTACCTCATAATCGTCATTGTCAAGAATAGTGTAAGCATAAAACCAGGTATTGTTAAGAATTAGAATTGTTACAGAAAATTCTTTTTAGATTTGTTGAATTGAAAGACTGCAATTCTATCCATAATGAGGGAACTGGCATGGTTGTGAAATATGTTATTTCTAAAAATTTGAAATTAGATTTACTGCTTCCGTCATTGTCAAATTAAAATGCATTGTTTTATTGATGTTTTTTTGATTTTAAAAGTACTCTAACATATTACAACTAACTTTGATAGTGATGTTATCAGTGGAATTGAAATACACTTTTTGAATATTAGCTTTAATGGAATAAGCTAATGAATCATTATGAGTTTCGTTATTAATGATGACTTAGAGCAATGGTAAGCAATAATTGTTTTATGGTAATTGAGTAATTATCAGGGACAACAAATAACTTTTGGAACTATTCAAATTGGTTTGTTGGATTTCCAATTAATCAGTTACATATTAAGTATTAAAGCTAGCTAAAACAGCTGAGATGCATAATAAAAATATCATTAAAATTAATGTATAGAAATTTATTGAAATTGCGCTACGCATATCAACCTTGTATAATTTGAAATCATTATCATTCTAGAACCCACATAATTGACTCCAATAAAGATGACTGTGAGAGAAGCAATAAATCTTGCCATGGACGAAGAATTGGCTCATGATCCAAATGTATTTTTAATTGGTAAATATTTCAAAGTAATATTTTAGGTGAGGAAGTAGGGCAATATCAAGGAGCATATAAAGTTTCAAAGGGACTTTTCCAAAAGTATGGTGGCGATAGGATTATCGATACACCAATTACTGAGGCTGGATTCACAGGAATCTCAGTGGGAGCTGCCCTTTATGGGTTAAAGCCAATAGTTGAGTTTATGACTTGGAATTTTGCTATGCAAGCAATTGATCACATTATAAATTCAGCAGCCAAAGCTCATTATATGAGTGCTGGTGATTAGAAGGCTTCAATAGTTTTTAGAGGAATTAATGGGTAAATAAATAGATTATATGATTCAGAGCAACTGCATATGTGGCTGCACAACATTCTCAATGTTTCGCCTCTTGGTACAGTAATGTGCCAGGATTGATAGTGTTATCCCCTTATGATTGTGATGATGCAAAATCATTATTAAAGGCTGCTATTCGCAATCCAAATCCTGTTGTATTTTTGGAGAATGAGATTCTATACAGTGAATCATTTGAATTATCAGCTGAAGCCAGAGATCCAAATTACATTGCTCCAATTGGAAAGGCTAAGGTCATGAGAAAAGGTGATCATGTTACAATTGTGGCATTTTCTAAAATGGTTGAATATTCCCTTAGAGCTGCTGAACAACTGTTTCGTGAGGGCATCAGTTGTGAAGTTATCAATTTAAGAAGTTTAAGACCCTTGGATAGAGACACCATTCTTGAGAGTGTAAAGAAGACAGGAAGAGTAGTTTGCGTTGAAGAAGGATGGCCATAATCTGGAATTGGAGCTGAGATCGCTGCTCTTATTATGGAAGGAGGAGCCTTTAAATATTTGGATGCTCCTATTCAAAGAGTCACTGGAGTTGAAGTACCAACACCATATGCTTTCAATTTAGAAGCCATATCATTTCCAAAAACAGAACAAATTGTTGATGCTGTCTTAAATGTATTAAAAGGGGCTCGTTGATTTATATTTAAATTATAAAATGGATCAATATACAGTTCTTGGTGAAGGTGCTCAGCACATTGTCTATTAATATATAGGTGAAGATCTCACTCTGAAGGATAAGGTCATTAGAATTCGTAAACCAAAGGACATGTGTGAGATTTCCACTAATCTCATTATGCCTTTTAACAATACGGATTGGACTCCTCTTAAAAAGTATTTCACAAAAAAGCAACCATACTAGGTAGGGGATTAATAATGTTAAATTATGGACAATCTTTTTTTTAATGTTGTTTTTGCGGTGGAAATCAAACCCAAAACCTTTTTACCAATTTTATCGAACAAATAAGAAAATAAGGACTTATGCGATCCTAAGAATCAAAGATTTTTTATGATCTAACTCTTAAAGGCTTAAAAGAAATTATAAAAATCTGGCAAAGATATTTATCAATGCACAAAAATGGAAATCGATTCATTAATCTCTAAATATGACCCCAGGAAGTTTTATAATGGGAAAGTTGAAAATTTATTTGATGCGATCATTGATTTAGCAGAAATACCTGAGAACAATTTTAGACTCTTTAATAAATAACAAAAACAGGTTCAAAGCATTGAAGAATTTAATATAGAAGAGGTAAAGCATACCAATATTTTTAGATAGCCTCAATCATTAGCGAGACTCTGCTGTTAGAGGATCTCATTCAATAACTCAAGGGATTTTTTCATATGCTTTAATAAATGAATCTCACAGTTGAAGAAACTTAGGAAGCCCATGAGAAATTAAAACAGAAAAAGTTAAATAATAAATAATTACAGGAAGTTGCAGAAGGAAAGTGCTAAGATCCTGAAATATAAAAGCTAGCCTTTAAATTACTGACCTTTTCTTCATTTTAAGCTTTGAGTGATCTGTCAATCATCGGAAGTTTCAGGAAGGAAGGTTCAGGCAAATTCGTTGAATTGGGCAATCAAAAACTGTTTTATTAGTATTCAATAGTTGATTGTGATTTGAAGCCATTAAATAAAATTGAGGATTACATGTCAACCATCGACGAATTAATCAAATTGAGAAATTATTACGATTCTCTTAAATGAATTACATTATATATAAAAAATGAATAAATTGATCCCAGCCATAGTCTCTGATATTGATGGAGTATTAGTGAGAGGGAAGTCAATAATCCCAAATTCAGACACGGTTGTTAAGCAATTATTGAATTGTCATTTCACTAATGGAAGCAGACACAATATTAGAATTCCATTTTATCTATTGACTAATGGAGGAGGATGCACAGAATTGGAGAAAGCCAACTCATTGAATAAGATTATGGGTTCAAATTTTAAGAGAAATCATATCTTTCTGAATTACACTCCTTTAAGACCAATAATGAATGAATATTAGAATAGATTAATTTTAATCTGTGGAGCAGGCAAACTAACAGAAATAGCTAAGGATTGTGATTTAAAATACTTTTACACAATCGATGAATATTCTGCATTGTATGATCAGGTTGCGTTTAAACAATATGATCCTGAGATGATTAGATAATATGAAGCTGACATCAAATAAAGAAAAATGGAATAGATGAGAAATAAGCAAATCGAAGCAGTGTTTATAGTATTTGATCCAATAAAGTGGGAAGAGAGTGTACAGACCATATCCAATTTGGTTAAAGTGAATAAAGATATACCTATTTATGTAGTCAATAACGATGTGACTTATGCAGATTAATTCAAATTGCCAAGATTGGCATTTGGAACATTCACTAACACTCTCATTTCCATTCTAAGAAAAGAGTATAACATAAATCCAAATATCATTTATTATGGAAAGCCATCTCTCAATACATTTAGGTATGTATAATCGTATATACATGAAAAACATGAAAATATTGGTAATATCTATATGATTGGTGATAACCCTGCAAGTGATATAAGAGGAGCAAATACGATTGGATGGCCATCATTATTGGTGAGGAGTGGAGTGTTCAGAGGTGGTGACAATGATCCAAAAGATCCTGGGAAATACGTTGTGAAAGATTTGATGGAGGCTTACAATAAGATATTGCAATTAGAAGGATTAAAAGTTGTTTAATGATGTTTTAACTATATAAATTTAAAAATGGGTGCTAATTCTTCTTAGAGTGAGAAGTTTGTGCAAGAGTTCCAAAGACAATGCGTAAAGGTGAGAGAGTTAAAAGACTTGCGTTTTGGAGATGTTCAGATTTACAGAACTCAACAGAATACTTTCATTATGGTCAAAAGCATCTGGTGTAACAATTCATCAGAATATGACGCATCCATAAGTAATATTAAATTAATTCATTTAGGCAATTGTGAAAAGAGATCCAAGATTCAACATTAAAATTTGGTCAAACTCTTAGGATATCATTCAAATTCATAAAATTAATGGTGTGGAGATTTTTCAAAAATTACTGTATATTTGGAATTCTTTGACTACACTCTAGAAAAGTCTATTGAAACAAGAAGACAAACCAATCAATACTTTACTGAAGCCGAGCTATGGAAAATGCTATTCACTATTGCTAAATTGGGAATCTATCTTGAAGAATAAAACAAAGTTCTTGGAGACATCAGACCCTGCAACATTCAATTGTCAGATGATTTGAAAATGGCTGTAAGTATTATCCTTAATTCTTTATAGGAATTAGGCATATTGAAACCAGATCAAACAGGTTATTAAAGATAAATTAATAATCAAGAAATAGCATATTTAAGTCCAGAACAACTATATTCACTCAATAATACTTCAATAACAGCCAAATCTGATGTCTTCTCTTTGGGTGTCACCATGCTAGAATGCTCAACTCTAATGAGTGGAAAGAATCTCTATAAATCTAATAGAATTGATGGCCATCTCCTTTAACAATTATTAGAAACTGTCAAATAACTAGGGTATTCAAATCCTTGGTACAGAATGGTCAGAGAGTTATTAAAGGAATAGCCTGATGAAAGACCCTCATATTAAGATATTTATGTAATTTCAATTTTTATATTCAGGATGCCCTCAAATAATTTGAAGTTCAGATTCTGAATCTCCAACCCTTTTCCCTTTTATACTAACAACCTCCATTACCATAATAATCAATATCACCTTATAGACCACAACATTAACAATATTCATAATAAAATCCTCCTTCACATCTATAATAATAACAGCATACTTCACTTCCCATGTAATTTTAATAATTCCAACAACAATAATAATAGCCATAACAATAATAACAAATAGTTTAACCTTAACAGATACAGTCTTTGCCTTAATAACCACCTTATTAATACCAATAATAAGTGCTACCTTCACAATAACCAATTTTAGCATCTTAATTACCTTCTTAATAGCCGTAATAATAATAACCAATACCCTAAAATTAATTTCCTCCATAGCAATCTTATTTGTACTCATATCAATAACAACAACCTTATCTAAATGAATTAGCAAATGCTTAGTCAAATTATTTTGTATAATAACCATAACACCATGTACCTTAATAGATAGAGTAGTCCCCATATCACACACTATAGTCCCCTTAAAATATGACATCAACAATGTATTATCAAGAAGAAGAGTAAGATGATGGATTGAATGAAATTGACAGAAAGATTCAATAAGCATTGAAAATGACTAGGGATACTGAAATGAGAAATAAATAAACACCGAATTACTATTGAAATGATAAATGCAATATAATCAATAATTAGTAGTATAAATAACTCTCTTCCATTTCTAATTTCTCAAGTTTTATTTAAAGTAGAAAACTCCAGTTAAGATGTTCCAAATAATCTTGCCCATGCTGCTAGATGATCATATATAATTTTCATTTGAAATTCGTTTTTCAATGAAATACAAAATTCTATTAATTATTGTAATTTAATAAATTCAATTGTTATTCTATGAAGTGTCACTTTGAACCTTGGACATTATCAGTTAGACTAAAATAACATGGAAACCAGAAAGTCAACAAAGGGTGTTATAATTTTTCAAAGTTAACAAGTATTATTAGATAATGTCAAGATTGGTCAATGCTGATTGAAATAAAATGTAAATAATTAAATTTAGTGGTTTCTTAGAAGAGCACTTAAAATCTAGTGTTATTAATCTATTTTGAGATTAAAATTATTGATTATTTAAAAATTCATTTTTCTCAATAACTTATTTATAAATTTTACTATTGTTGGGTAATTAGGTAGCTCTTATTATTTCTGTAGACGGGAAACAATTGTATTAAAGATTGGATGAGTAGCTGAAAATAATATTTTTATAAAATTTATTGATCTAATGAATGCTTGCGTCATAATGAAAGATAATACCTCATTCTTAATCACAAACATTTGACTCTATGGTTCAGAAAAATAAATATATAATGAGCTATTCTACCACAGATGAGAGATTGATGGATTCACCAAAAAGAACAGAAAGCACAGATATCTAATCTGACAGTTAAATGTTTAAGAAGGGACTTAATCCGTCATTCTTAGGAATTTAATAAACATCGAAAGTCACTGTATTTAAATATGCTATTTTAAGGTGTCTAGAAGATATCTCGATACTAAAACTCATGGAGTTTAATTATATTATTAGGAATTTACTCCTTAATTTGTAGATGCTTAAGTAATAATCGTACATGGATTTGGTGAGCACTCAGGAAATTATCAATAAGTAAATTCGAATTTTATTCTTTCTAGTTAACAGATTCTTTTCTACTCAACAATTTTAAAGTATATCTCTATGACCAAAGAGGATTTGGCTATTCTGGTGGTATAAGAGGCTAAGCCACTGTTGAATAAATGCACATGGATTTAGACATCGTTTTATAATTAGTAGATAGATCGGTTCCTTTATTTATATTTTGTCACGCTCTTGGTGCTTCTATGGTCATCAGCTTCTGTTTAATGAATCCCTCATTCCAATTTTAAGGACTTATTTGTAGTAGTGCTTAATTACGAGTGCCTGCCAAATACGGAAAAATCAAGATGCTCACCCTTAAGCTTATGACTAAGCTATGCCCTGATCTCCAAGTCAATACATACCAAAATTTATCATACGCCTCAAAAAATAATCATCATATCAAAAAGCTTGCCACTGATCACCTTATGCATCCTTATATGAGCATCTAATTTGCATACAACGTACTTCTATTTCAGCAATTCATTTTGCCAAATGCAACTAAATTCAAAATCCCTGTCTTGTTATTGCATGGAAAAGAAGACAAAGTTGCATCGCACTTAGATTCCCTTGATTTTTATAGACTCATTCAATCCAAAGAAAAAACACTGAAAATATTTGAACAAGGATTTCATGAGTTGCATAATGACTCTGAATGGCCTAAAATGAAGATTCTCATCACTTAATGGTGCACAAAAATGTTAAGCAAAGATATCAAAATATCCTTTATGAGAGAACACAATTACGGAGTTGTTGTTAAACAATACAGAAGCAAAATGAGAATCATCGTTGCTATTCTTCTCATGTTATTCAGAAAGTAATTGTTTTTATAAATTCTATTAGAAAATATGCATGTTTAAAAATAAGTACTAAAATTAGCATCATAATATTTATAGAGTTACTTTTAAGAGTGTTCATTTCTAATTGAATATTTGTAAAGTTTTATATATACTAATTAATATATTATGAAAAATAACAGATAAAATTTTATCGATTTGATCATCCATCTACTAGATTTGGAGGAACAAATTGAAAAAACAAAGATTCATATGACTTCGAATGAATATTTTACTCTTTATAGAGCATTCTAAATAATTGATGAATAAAATACAAATTAAATAACAATAGAAGCAATTTCAAAATTAATTTCTAAATCTCCTGATCAATGTGCATTGCTAATTGATTATTACTCTGAATTTAAAGACAATAAGTTATCTTTTGCAAACTTTATGAATTTGTGTTTGCCAAGGAGTAAACCTTAATTAAGAGCATAATTGACATAAAAACTCTAAAAAACGATAGGTTCTCCAGAGGAATAAGAATTAATTAAAGAACATTTATCTATTCTAATAGCAACTGAAATTCATTTTTTATAGTAGATTAAACAGCACCCAATTGAAATAGAAGGACTACTAGATTACCCATTTAAACAGAAGGATTTGAATTAATTAGTTAACGATTTTGGCTATAAAATAAATATTGAAGCAATTTGGAGAAGATTGGATTTTGATTAAAATGGTATTGTTACTTATGAAGACATGAAGAAATTGTTTAGAGAGTAAGATCAAAGCATTGATGCTAATGAATAAGAAATGGAGAAGGAATAATTGAGGAATAAGGATATAAAATTGGGATGGATAAACAATAAATCATGCCCATATCATTCTTATTCGAAATAATTCAGAAAGAGGATTCAAAACTTTTAGGAATTTGAGAAATAAAAAACCATTTTGAGGTATGATTATTACTAAGCTTAGATAAAATGAGTGGAAATAAATAAGGAGTTTTTTGTATTTGATAAAAGAACACTGTTAGATTTATTAATAGATTGATTAATTGTTGGAGAAACTAAATAAATTTGATAGTATAAAGTTATTTGAATTGTTGAGCATCAATGGTAGATTGGAATTTTAGTATTTGCAAAAGAAGATATAAGAGATTGTGGGATAAGAGTTCTAACTGGATTATTCGGATGTAGAATAGTTGATGATCTTTTTTGGTGGTCAAAGTTATGAAGAATTCAAACGCTCATTAGAATGCAGTAGAATGTTGGAGAGAAAGCAACCTATAAATATGAATGTTCTGAAGATGCTATTCATAAAATTGATATTGTTGTTGCAATTAAGTAGATATTTGAAATAATAATACACAAAGAAGGCTTTGATATAGAACAAGGACTTGTTGAATGAATTCGGAGAGTTCTCTTAGTCAAATGTTTTGTTGATGGCGAGGAAGGCTGAGGTAGAATTGAGTTTGGAAGAAGTTAATGTGTTTTTTAAAGGTTAAGAGGTTTTGGAAGTTAGGAATGTTATGAGTTTTTTGAAATGATTTATTATATATAAAAATTATGGAAGAAATTGTTAATGGAGAGGATGATGTCGAGCCGTAATTTAAATTTATTACACACACCCGAACAACATAATATCGTATTTCAGTGATGAAGAAACGAATTGAGATAGCATCTATTAATAGCCTAGATTAAATTTAAGTTCCATTAAGCATAGATTAAACTCTCTATTGGTTATACGATGAGGGCCGAGTTATTGCTTTTGGATTGAGGTAGGGAGATCTTACGAATTATTACTATGGAGATGAGAGTGAGCTCTCTCATTTTAGGATATTGATTGGGTGCAAAATTTCATTTGGAACATTTAGATAGGACTATTTCGTTGGTGATTTATTGGGAAAAGGCACATTTTCAGAAGTATAAGTTCTTCTATGACCAGGTAATGAAGGTGACTAGTTTGAGGGATGGCAAAGAGTATGCTTTAAAGAAAATCAAATTGCGTAACGAGTCTCATTTAAAGAATATTGAAATTGAGGTAGCTATTTTGCATAAGTTAAATCATTAAGGCATCATCAAGTTACATGATGTGTATAGATTAAACGAAGACACTTATGGGTTAATTACTGAATTAGTCATTGGGCAATCTCTGGACTCAATTATTAATAAATAGAAAGTAAGGTTTTAAATAAAGTGTTAGCAAAAAAAGAGCAAACTGGAAGAACGAGACATTTAAATGATTCTAAAATAAACTCTATAAATCATTGATTACTTACATTAGAATAATATAATCCATAGAGATATTAAACCTTAACATATGATTTTGTGTTAAAATAAAACAATTAAGATATTGGATTTTGGGTTAAGTTCTAATGAGAGTCAAATGTCTTGCAATTGTGGAACTCCTGGTTACTTGCCACCTGAATCGTTTCGAGAACAATCGCTGTACACTTCTAAAGGAGACATATTCAGTTTGGGAGTGGTTTTTTATAAGTTATTGAATAGAGGAGTTAGTTGTTTTGATGCAAATACACTCGAATCAATAATGAGTAAAAATAGACGTTGCATGATTGAATATCAAATCAATGGATATTCGCCTCAAGCTCTGGTACATTTTTGAAATGAATTCTAAGCATTTGCTCAAATAAATGCTTCAAAAAGATCCAGTCTTGAGAATCAATTCGCACGATGCGCTGAATCATACTTATTTTACTGTCCTGCGTGAATCCCAGAATCTAAAAGAAGAAAAAGGGAATATTTATGTTTACTAAGCTCATCCTAGGCCATCCCACTTATCTAGGACGAACAGTGGTGAGTTAGAGAAAACTTCAAAATGATTGTAAATTATTATTAAATATATGTTCATGATATTTTCAATTGGTCAATTAGTTTTTGTTCATTTCTTTTTGGTGTTCTGGAGAAAGTCAGGTGTGTCAGGTGTGTCAGGTTGAAGGTTTGTTTTAAAATGGATTGAATTTGAATGAGTTTAAGAGTGACAGACTTATTAAGACTCAAGTTAATGAATTAATGTGCCCTTGGATTATTTGCTAGCAGCACACCCCATTTAGTTTTTTAAAGATAAATTAAACAATAAATCTTAATGAAGACAATTTAATAAATAATGAGTTGTATTTATATTATTTGAGTTTATTCCCTCGATAATCATATTTATTATTATAATGTTAGCATACACAGTCAACATAGATGATTATCAAACCATGGATGATAAAGTATATTATTAGATCAACGTTTATTGCTCAGATGGTCACAGGAAGATTTCTAAACGATATTCCGACTTGAAAGCTTTGAATGAAAAAATCATAGAGAAGAACTCTAACTTTAAACTTCATTTAAATCTGCCTCAATTTCCTGGCAGAAAGATATTTGGGAGAACCAAGAATTCAGTCGCAGGAATCAAGTAGAGAGTAATAAAGTAAATTCTATCTAGGGAAAAGAATTATAGAAATATTTAGAAGAAGTTTTAAACATTAAATAGTTGCAATAATTCTAATCAATTAAAGACTTGTTGCCTCAACAACAATTATATTAAGAAACAATTTAGCTAACTCCCAGTGATGAATATGATAAAGAAGTGTGTTGGCTATAAATGGATGAATTAAAGCGATCATTTTTAGAAAGACAAGAAATCAAAACACCCAAGAATATTAAATCTAAATGCAAATCTAGTTTAAACACTAATGGATATGTCTAGAGATATCATTTTAGTATTGATGATTATGAAATCCAATAAGATGTAGTTTTATATACGATAACATTAACAGACGCAAAAAAGACTACTAATTATTAATTTACATCAAGATATAGTGATTTAAGAGAATATCATAAATTGCTTAAAAAGGAGAATTTGAAAGTTGAATTGCCTGTTTATCCTAAAAGAAAGATCATATCTCAAACGAATGAGAATCCTCTCTTCATCTAAGAAAGATAGGAATAACTTTAGAAATATCTAAATGACATATTCGCCATTAAAGAGTTAGTCTAAAGCGAACCTTTGCAATACTTTATTACCAAAATTAAGCTGGAAGGTAAAGCCATTCGAGTAGGGCCTGTTCAATAAAAATAGTAAATTTGTACCAGATCAATTTTATATGAAAGTCAAGAGAATTTGCCAGAAAGAAAAAGCTCTTTTTGAAGTAACTAATTCTAAGATGTTTATTGCTTTTTCTATTATTTTATTTTAATAATTATTTATTTGCGTATTTCACAGAATTGGGTTGTGCAATATTAATTAGCGTCGATAAGAAGGGAATAAGTGTGTTTTCCTAAAATATCAGAAATAGTAACAGTTCCATTTTGTATGATGCTAATATGAATCCAATAGTGAGAAGATATTACAGTAAGACAGGCAGGTATAATCAGAATAGACCAGAATACCAATAAAATTTTGAATAGATTATGATGTATTAAATATAATTATTTCAAACTCTTAATTTTTATTTTACCAAATCCCATAATCTTGGATAATCTTTTTTTCCTTTCTTGACTTCAAAATCAATAACCACTCCCATTGCTCTGTATCTATCTAATAAGGGATGAGTCTTTTCGTCATATTCCTTCATTCTTTGTTCTATAACCTAGATGTTAATTCATTCATTTACTTCTTTCTTATCATCATCTCTAACCACTAATTTACCGCCACAAGCATCACAGATTCCTTCCTTCTTTGGATTTAATGGCTCCATAACATAGCCATCTCTGTTGATGTCACATACATTGAAAGCTGTTCCACAACCAACACAAGTACGACGACTTACATATTTTTTATTAAATAATACGCAGCTAATTTTTCAAGCAAAATATCTGCTCTCAAAGTCACATTAACAACCACATTTGTTGGTAAAATCTTTTCGTATAAGTCCAATTATCTTAATGTTCTTGGGAATCCATCCAATATTACTCCCTTTGCAGACTCTGGCTCCTTCAACTTTTCCTATAAGATGTTCATCACAATCTCATCTGAAACAAGACCACCCTTTGCTACTATGTCTTTAATTGTAGCTATTAATTTTGGATCAAATGATTTGGATGTATTGCCTTTCAAAATCTTACGAATTTCATCTCCTGTTGATATGTGGTTAAATTTAGTATCGTTGATCAATAACTTTGCAAATGTTCCTTTACCAACCTAATTTCATATTAATTCACTTTATTACTCCTGGAGCACCAAACAAAACAAGGAATTATTATCCTGGCTTAGCAATACTAGCTGCATATCTTATTATGAGATTTTTCATATCCAATATATATTTATTTAATGAAATAATCACTCTTTGCTCAGCGTATGAAGTTAAAAAAGGAGATCCCATAATCAGATGAACAACTCTCCTTCCCTTAAACATTCAAAGTTGATCTCCCACCTCAACCCAATCGTGCCTAGTTTCACGGCTTAAGTGAAAAAGAATATTAATAAATCGAAGAAGAAAATCTTAAGGCAATCAAAGAAATGAATCAAGAATAAGTCTTGGAATTACAAAAATAAATTAGAGAATCCTTGGGAGATAATTTATGCAAAATGTTTGAATCAGGTGACATATACCAAATTAAACAATAAAAACAAATGCAACTAGAAATTAACTAAAATATTACCAAAAATACAGAAGTTTTTAGCAAACTTATTGATGAAGACTAAATCACAATATCCGAAATTCAAGAACTTATCAAATCCCCAGAAATGAGTAGTGTCAAAGTAGCACTCCAAAAAATTGATAAAGTTATTAAACCTTAAAATGTACTCCAATTGGAATCCATCAATCTCAGCGATTACCTCATCTCAGTTGGAAAATCAACTAATATTTCAGTATCCCTATTTTCATTTGATTTGCTTTATTCATATTGGAATAAGATAGTTCCCAATTGTTGGAACCCAATCTACAATCTCAAAGAAACCAAAGAAGTTGAAGATCTCTACGTTGACTTGCCTTAGATGGTTAATTAATTATAGCACCACATTCCTTATTCAAAAGCCTTAGACCTCCTCAGAATAAGGAATATTCTATCCCAATCCAATTCTAAATACATAATCGAGCATTAATCAATTGTAAACATAGATTGCAAACTCAAATCCATCATTTTGCTTTAATAATTTCAAGAATTGCAACAAATTAATTTCATTTCCTAAGAGTTTTCAGATTTTCTACTCTCAATCATATTCTATTATTTCCATCATCTACTTGATTCATAATGTAATATAATCATTAGCGAATTATCAAAAGTTCAGAACTCAAACTTAAAATTGGCCATATTCTATCTCTATCAATCAAGATTTAGTTGCAAATTAATACACGAACCACTAATATTGGATATCAAGAAACCTGAAATCAATTAAGATATCCAAATTTATGAAATAGTCCCATTTTAATCTGTCATTGCAACACTATTCGACTCATTTAATTTGGCTATTTTTTCTGGTCAGGATATTGTAATCTGCCTGAAATAAATTGTTTCATTGATTTTTGATATCAGGTATTTGGCAAAATAGATTATTTCAAGAAAATAAAGAAAAGTTCATAAATGGAGATTATTGAATATTTTAAGAAGCATCTTTTAAGAACAATTTAAAAATGAAGCAAATAAAAGGACATCAATAAAAGAAAATAACGAAAAGTATTAACTTTTAGAATTGATCAGATAGCAACTTAAGATCGAATTTCATTTAAAAGATGAAAAAGAATTAGTCTTTGAGGCCAGTTTATATACAGGTCTTTCCTAATTTTTAAGCTAGCATGAATATCAATTAGAAGTTGTTTAATAATATATTGATTGCTTTCATGATATTGATTTTGAAATAAAATCTGAATTTGTGCTATTAAAACTATACAAATTATTAATATCGAATAATGAATTACCAACTGGATTAATAAACATATACAAATATTTATTGGATAAAATAAATATCAAAGAATTAGGTGTCCTACTAAATAAGAATGTCTCTTATTTTGAAAAATTACTCTAAAAGTGTTAATATGATTCGTATTATAATTAAACACACGTGAATATCCTATTTTTGTTTATTAGTCCTCATTTTAATCCAGATTTTCACAACTTATTATTTTAAGAATTCCAATGCACACCAATATTGCAATATCTGTCATCAGATATATATCTGAAACATCTAAATTACTTTACCGTAAAGCCAAATAAAGGATTAGAGATCTATAGATAAAATGTATTAGACATAAGCAGCGAAAATGAATTTATATAAAAATGGAAGGCAGAAATAAGTTAATGGTGATGATATTTATTATAAATGAAAATATATATAATATGTCAATAATAAACTGTATTTAATATAATATAATTTGAAAATTTATTATATTAACAAAAAAAGACATCATAGAACCTATTATTTTTCTTCTATATCTTATACATGAAACATGTAAACTGATTTTATAAGAAAATATAGAAGAAATAATAAAAAATAATGAAAAATTGCATAATATTGAATTAAAGTCATGAAAAGCAGTCAAGGAATACATCACTTTCATCATTGGGTTCCTAATATTTATCATAATTCTATAGTTACCTCTTAAAATACGTAAATGTTTCTTTCACTAATATATTGATAGTTTTTGCTTATAATTTCATGAACAAAATATTACTCATCCTAATATAATGAATTGATATTACATCATCATTTCCTACCCAATCTAATCCTCTCCACACATAAACCTGTAGGACTGATTTATTTATTTCTTTTATCAAGATGAACAATTGAGATTGATCAAGATCCTCTAAATCAAACATCAATAGGAAATCATCTGAATTTGGATAGATAAAGAATGCCTTTTTTTCAACATGAACTTCCTCAACTCTATCTGAACTATACAATTAAACATTGGATTCTTTCTCTTTATTAAATTCATTCTCATCAACTTCTTCATACCATTAATCCCATTCCCTTATTTTTTAACATATAACTGCAGGCTTACCAACGATTCCCCATAAACCCCAAAACATTTCTGATTCATTTTCAGCATCCATCAATATAGGTTATATATTTGGGGCCTTTTCAAATTACTTCAAAAATTTAGTATAATCAAGGGCATATTGAATGAATCTATTTATAAAATATGAAATACTTCTCTGTTTTGTTGCATTCTGGACCAATCCATAAATACAAATCATGTTCTGAAAGTACTAGAAAAACGCCTCTGCTATCAAATGTTCTTAAAACCTTACCAGAGTATAATTAATCCATAAGCATTCTACAGACAATACTTTGAGGTCCACTCACTCCTCTGCCAACTGCAAATACTCTTGGAGCAATAGGTATACTATCATACGAAGCTTGTAATCGCTTTTAGAATAACAATAGCTAGACTGTAAATCCCATATTAGGTGATGCTACTCCTCTATTTTTCTTGATAATATCGAATGCTTGAGAATAAGTAATTTATTAAGATATGATTAAATAAGCTATGCAAAGTGACACAGATCTTGATACTCCTTAGACACAATGAATCAACACTTTTCCATTATTCTTTTTTGCATTTTCAATGATGGCAATAACTTCATAGAATATACATTCAATATTTTCTGTCTTTGAATCTTTCAAATAATAAGTCTAATAAAAGAAATCATCAGGAAACTTATTTTTGCATACATCTCCTGCACAATTGACAACATGAGTGACACCAATTTATTTTAAGACCTCCTTATTATAAGCAATTTATTCACCTCCAACATAAAGGAAATTAGGAATTACAGATGAGCATTGTTCTGCAAAATGTTAAATTTTTAGCTTTTTCCTATCTGTATCTCTGATATCAAAATTGAATCCATTAGAATCTTCCTATTCAATATCCTAATAAGTAGTATCATCTCTCTATAATTTCAGACTTGCTAGTGGTAATTTCATTGGTTTGACTTTTTCATTTTCATTGCACTCAACGCCTTCAACCAATGGTACTCCGATGCTGACTTCTTGGGAATGAGTTTTGCAATTTAAATCTAGTTTAGGAATGTTTATGGCAGGAACTTTGCTTTTTATCTATGCAGGTAAATTAAATTAGAATGCATTATTAGTATTAGTGACTGGTTATTGTTATGGACTTATGTCTTCATACCTGTTATTTTCTCTTGAACGACTGGATATTGGCTTTGGGCTTTCTTTAGACATAGAAGGAGAACCTTCATCTGAGATCTCATGTATTTTATTGTTAATTTCATTGGAGTTCCTTCTAGGAAATGCTAATTCCTTAAATGGATCTCTTGGTTAGGCGTCTCTACTAGTCAATGATTCTCTTAGATTCAATTTAGGTTTTTGAATAACTTTGTTGGTGTTTGAATTTTAAATTTGTTCATCTTTCAAATCAACATGGATAAATTATTAAGCATATGCTTATGTATTTTATTTTTTTGCTAGAAAATCGGCCAATTTAGAGAATTCCTTCTTCTTTTCAGGGACTGGAAACAGAAAGTTAAACAAATATACGGTTTCTCTAACTTAATTTTCTGTTTCAATATTGGTCGTTGATGAAGTTTAGGCACTACTTTGTAATGTCAGGATGGATCCTTTGGACAACTTTTTATTTTTAATTATGCCACCGCTAAATAGGATTTCAAGTAATGGATCCTTTCCTCTATTTAACAAGTTTTCCAATTCAAAAGCATTTGATAAGGCTGATGCTTTAATTAAGGGATTTGCTGTTTTTCCATTCCATACAAAAATCATATACTCGTATATATTTGATGTTGATGGGTTTTATTATCTTTGGGGTAATAAAAATGATTCAAGATGACTTTCTGATGCTGCCACAGGTTCTTCTAATCCCCTAGGAGTTAAATTAGAATAGGATTCAACGACGCCCCACATCTGATGGGGAAAGTTTGTAAATTGATTGTACTCTATATTCATAATTCAATATTATACCTTCTTAAGCCTTTTTGTATATCAGCAATACTAGATAGCATTCGGTTGAAAGAAAATTAAAACCGCTTGTTTAGATGGCGCTTAAATTGATGGGTTCAGATCTAACTTTCTTTAATGGGTGCTTTTCCTCTTAAAATTTCCAAATCTGATAATTTTGAAAATATATATACTTTTAAGTGTTATGTTATGCTTTCAGGAATGTTACTATCGAATTTAATCTTCTCCAATAATTTTGTATTCAGTTCCAAAATGTCCTCCAAATTTGAAACATGTTTATCAATACTCAATTTAGATCCCATAATTTATATATATATAATTAATATAATATTTTAGAATAATATTTTCAAATATCCTTCAAACTAAAAATAGATAATCTAACAGTAGAGTCCCAGTATATTCAAATATTTCATTTCTCTAATTAAAATTTTATTTATAATTGATTACTATTCTATACTGTTTGATGTATTATTAGAATCTTCTCTTGATGATTTGACGGAGTAAAATAGAAAGATAGATATTGGCATTAATTAACAAAAGATAATATTTCATCCTATAATTAAGAATGTAAGGTTTAATAATATAAGTAAAATAATGGATTATGTTCATTTATTTAGGCGGAGATCGAAAATTATAATGTAAATTCTACCTACTTGTCTGATAAAACAAAAATTGAAACATATATTAATTTCTTAATTTGTTTTTAAATAATGGTATAATAATTGTATGACATTGGACTTGAATTCTTTTTAATAAAACCCAAAATTTACTGAATTCGGATGGATTCTCAAATATCTCATGTGCAAAGGATAACGATAAATATCATGCGATCAAGATAGACAAAAATCTTCAAAAATTATAATAAACAATGCAACACCAGAAAAGTCTAAATGAATTATCTAAATTTAGACTTGTTAAATATTTCTTTATCTGAAAAGTCTAATTTCTCAAATTAGATGAGTATTGAAGTGGGTGTAATAAAAATTAAAAATCTGTTTTCGATCAAGAATTTACTGCTGAAGAATACAGGATTATTCCACATAATTTATGTTTATAAATTATAATTATTAAGAAAATCAACAATAAATCATTTTTGATTATTTTACTAACGATTCTTATGTCAATACTTTATAGATTACTTTCTAAAAGGGTTTTTTAGTGTTGGAAAGTTTAAAAGTTTTAGTTAACTTTCTATTGGATGAGATATTTCAGATCTTTTTCTGAAAAACTAGTGCTTCAAACAAAGAGAAGCTGAAGGTCGATGTTTCTTATGTCCGATCATCAAAAGTAGGAGCTATCTTTATTCAGTATCTATTATCTTAGAAGATACTTTATATTTATTTAATTTATTTAAGAAAACTAAATGATTTTTATCCTTATATTCTGGGTACAACTTTTATCCAGAGGACAAAGCATGAAACACACTTCCTAAACTATAAATATCCACTAATTCATTATAATCCTCTTAATTTAAAATCTCAGGAGCCATGTATCCAGGAGTACCACATCTCATTATGTTTTAATAGCCAAATTCTACAGCAAATCCAAAGTCGATTATTTTTATAGACTTTATATCATTTTCATTCTCCAAAACAATATTATCTAGTTTTAGATCTCTATGAATAATTCCTAGCTTATGTAAGTGTTTCACTCCTTTCAATAGCCTCTTCATGATACATTTTATCTCTGATTATTCAAATTGTTATTTTCTTTCTAATATGTAACTATATAGAGTTCCTCCCCTACAATATTTCATTATAAAGATGATTTCATTTGATTCTTTATAAATTTCATCTATTTCGAGAATACTTTTATGTTTTTATTATTTTAATTCAAAAAGTATATTAACCTCCTTTTCAAGTTTAGACTTAAATAAATATTAATAGTATACTTATTAATTCATCTTTAAATTCACTTTTTTTATCAGTTTTTCTTGTCCTGTGGCTTTTTGAACATATTTTTATATCTAATCATTGTACTTCTAAAAATAGTACTTCAGCATCCTCTTTAGAATGTAATGAACTAACAAACAGGTAATCATTATTGAAGTCGGTGTACAGCACTTTGCAATCCAGTAATTTCTTTAATTGCTTCATATTTTCTGCCTCGCCTCTGTAAGTTAAGGACTTTTAAGCACTCGATAAACGACAATAATACGATACTTTAAACCCTTCAATTATTGTTTCACTTCAATTTATATTATGTAAAATACTTAAATATCCAACTAATCGTAGTTGAAAAAGAACTAAGGTCAATAGATCTACCATTTTATTCCTGAACAGCATCGTTTGTTGTCTAATCCTATTATGTGCTGCTGATCACTATCTTTTTGTCATACAAATAGAGAGTTCGGGAAAAATTATTTTTTGTGTTGTTTACATCGAAAGTGTAAATAATATCTCGATTCATTCTGAATTAAAAATATAATTAAAACAATAAAGTAAACTAACTTGGTTGAAAAATCCTTATTAAATCTTTCGCATTTACAAAATAAAACTAATTTAGGCTAACTCTAAGAAAATTATATTTGTTTTAAATGCCAAATTAGTATTAAAATTATTTTAGCATTCTTCTTTATATAATTATTCTAATTGCTCTTTCCTAGTAGTTTATGATAAAATATTAATTCTTGCAATGGAAAATTTGTTTGTAAGTGAAAGTTTTTCTAAATATACAGGGTTAAAAAATTTGAAAATTTTATGATTTATTAAACAAAAATGAGAAATATAAGAATAGAGATTCTTATATATGCAATAACTTAGATTCTATATATGAGGGATTTTATTGGGGTGAAAATATAAAAGGTATAAATTATTTACATAATATTTTCAGGATTAATTATAATTTGCTGATTTATAATTGTTATTTTTAATAAAAATTAAATTATAAAATATAAAATTATATATATATTATCTCTTATTATGCTTGAAATCGCATTTAAGTATTAATAGAATGACTGAATATGTGCTTCCTTTGAATTTTAGGATTTATAGAGAGCATAAGCATCAAAAATTTTCATAAATGGAATGCTTTAACTAATAAAATATTTTAAACTTTAAAGCAATTAAATTGATGCCAAATTTTCATTGATGGTTATTGATTCTTACAATATATGACTTTTTTAATTCATTTTAAAGATCTCTATTATTGTTATGAAAATTTTAAATTGAGCTTTTACTAAGTATTCAGTATTAATTTATGTCTTACGAGTTTTCTCATTCATTAAGATTTACCCTTTAGATCATAGTTGTGTTTAGATACTTGTCAAAACATAAAAATTCAATTCTTAAATTTTCAACTCCCTTATTCTAAAATAATTAAACCAAAATTTTTAAATATCTATGAGGGAACTTAAAGAATTTTACATTTATTTTAAAACTTACCTAATTTACTTTAATTTTCACTAAAAAATCCCATTTTTCAAATTTATCATTTTTGTATTAATGAACTTGCAATTTTATAATATAAATTTAAATTTTGAACATTAAATTATATTTTTAATTAATGCATAAAAGTGTAATATAATATGTTTATATTAAAGTCATTAAAATATATATAAAATGAAAAGAAAACAATTAATATGTTTGAAAGAAGCAAAAAAGTCTTGTAAATTTAGAATAGAATCAAGAAGAAGTTAATGAATAGAAAACAAATTTAAAAACATAAAAGTCAATCATCTTCTTTAAACTTTTTTGCAATAGAGATGATCTATTGCCTTATAGATTTATTATAAATTTTAGGATATTTAGTATTGGTACTGATATCAGAAGGATTTAAGCTTGAGTGTTATAATTTATTGTAAATGTTATCTTACATGGCTTTTCTGATTGAAATAGAGGCCAAGGGTTCAAGGGTGGATTTGTTGGTGGTTCTAAACTCCTTGGTGTTTGGTTCCTCCTTATCTAATTTTCTTGAAATGTCTCCCAAAGCCTCAAAGCCTTCGATGTAAACATCGCTATAAAATTGAGGTTCTGCTGACTTTGGATTAACGGTAGTGAGAAATCCTCTGTCAGTTTTCCATTTGTCTTTGGAGGGTGTTTTCCAGGTTGGAAAATAGACCATGGTCATATCTTTAGCGGCATCGTCTATAACACTTTTATTATATTAATTTGCTTGGTCGACTTGATCTTTCCTCAACTTGGGCCTGTTCTCATAGGACCATTAGGGACCTTCCAAAGATTGGTCTCTTTCTCTTAATTTAATTTTGGGACATTCAGCGTATAATTCTCTAGGGAGATGGGACTGCGAGAAATCATCAACAATATATTGGATTCTTTGGTTGTTGGTTAGAAATCTATATAGAATGAGGAGTACAACTTGGAGAGTGTGATGGGTTTGGTGGTTTCTCTTGGTATTTTGGGAGTAGGGTAGAGCCCATTGAGCAAGCCTTGAATAGAGAGGAGAAATCATACAATTGGCAAAGGCAGGGTCGAGAGATTGTATAAAGTGTTGTCGACGATCATTAAAGGAGTTGTTGAGTATGGGATTGTGTTTTTTTGTTGATTTTGGGTTTGAGAGAGAGACAGTTCTTTTCTTTTGTTGGAAGTAATTATTCATGAAAATAAAATAAAAATGCCATAAGAAAATTGTGTAGTTTGCGGGAAAAGATAAGATGGTTTATACGAATTGCTGCCTCATTTCAGATCGAGACAGTCTTGCAGGTACATTCACAAGATGTGTCTGCTGTTATTTAGTTCTGATTGGAATCATCGAGTTGCTGTGAATGAGCGATTGTATTACAATGAATATCGGAAAGAGTGTTCAGTGTGTGGGAGGAGAAGCAAGCAATAGGTGGTCAGATGTGCACACAGGTATAAACTTTAATTATGAAATGCAGTTAATGTAGAAAGAGATTTCATTTGGAGTGCTTAAGGAATGCTGTAATTAAGACGAATTCAAATACAAGGGATTATTATCCGAGACTGGACGCATATTGTTAAGAGCATTCTCTCGATTTAATTAAAACTAGCAATTTGGAGGAGTGTGTAGAATCCATTTTTAATGAACATCTATCAAATTAGGAATAAGAACCTGGTTAGATTTAAAAGAAGAAACACAAGAAAAAGCATAAGAAGAAACGTTCTCGATCAAGATCAAGATCTCATAAGAAATCAGGACGCCGATCGAGTAGCTAATGCAGATTTAGTGATAGTCAAAGTTCGAAATCATCAAAATCATAACCCAAAAATCACTCTCATCCAAAAAAAGACAGTTTGTTAGTTATACCTGAAAGCAAGATTACTGATTTCATGATATAAAAAGTCAAAATTCTAACACAAGGACCTTTGCTAGAAAAAGAGGAGTCTATTGTTGAACCTCTGCCAATACTTCAGCCTATCCCCCAACCGATTATTGTGTAGAAAGAGGTTGAAAAACAGAAGATTTATCCCCAAATTCAAAGACCTATTGTTGAAGATCCTGAATTCCCCTACACCGAAAGAGAAAACAAGAGAGATCAATCCATTCTGAAGTGGTGGGATAAAATTGAGGAAATCTACTTCAAAGGGGAAGAGAAACTACCAATTACCAAAATCGAAGAATTCCAGAATCCTTTCGAATGGTCCAATCAAGGAATGGATGAAGACTTGCTCAATTATGCCGATCAGATGAATATTGGTATTCACTCTCATCCTCATTATTATTATTAGAACCTATCATACAGTTGAGATTTCAATGCAGAGGAAGCATAAATGTTGTAATTAGATGTTCAAAAACTCAGTATTAGTACACTAATTGTAAAATCTTTTAGTTTCATTCGATATAGTTTTACCGAGCATGTAGGCAAAGCAACACCCAAAGGATTGTTGAGGACCAACATACAATTGTATAGATATTTATAAGAGACAGTTGACATTCCTACATATTCTGATAAGGAAATAGTTGGCAAAGATCTAATTTATTTAGAGGGTTGCGAATTATCTAAATAGGAATATTAGGATTGCTTTGAATTAGAACAGCAAATCAAAGAAGTCTACACTAAATTGGAATCTCAATTAGACATTGAGAGTGACACAATCCAATAATTCGATATTGTCTATCATATCTTGAATAAAGAACTCACATCTGTAGTTAAATAAAACAATCAATTCCGAGATTAAATCAATTCCCAAATCACTGATTACAATTTCAAAATATTGAACACCGAATAACAACTATTAATTGATTTGTTGAGGTGGTCTCAAATAGTCAAAGCCTTCATAAATGGGTACAAAGACAAAAATGCAGATGTTTTGAACTCCTTCTTTCCTTGCTAATTAACTTTGACATCCCAATCCTCCCAAAAAGCTTAGTAAAAGAAGAAGAAAATCCACTCCAAGGAAAATACACAACCTTTAGATACAGACTGCAAAATCTGTTTTGATTACCATTACACAGATTTTAATCCTGTCATCTATTGCGGAAAGTGCTCCACATCCTTCCATAAGAATTGTTATGGTTTGACTGGATCTCTTGACGAAGATGATGTTATTTGTGATGGATGCTATTATGAGTCTTCTAAGGTGTATTAATTCAGAAGAGGTATATTATACATCATTATAAGGTGCTGCAAAATGTAGAATATGTAAAAAATTAGGATTGCCGCAAAAGTATATAAGAAGCTCATTTTATCATGTTTCTTGTTTACTTTTAACCAACTAAGTCATTCTCTCAGATGGTGCCTATGATGTTAGATATAGAAAGAATGATATCAAGCAATTTTGCAAAGATAACGAATCAAGTACTCCTCAATGTGCTGTTTGTGGAGATTCTAAAGGTTAAATATCGATTGAATCCCAGGGTTTCGTTTTTTGTGTTCTGGCGGGGAAACCATTCCGTGCAAGCATGCCTTCCATCCCATTTGTGCTTATCTACATGGCTTAACCATTGACATCGAAAGCGAGGATCTAGAACAGTGTTGCAAAGAACTAAGGTTTGCTCAGCTAAATGTGCATATCAAGTGTGTCTTACATTGTAATAAAACATTGTAAGAACTCATACAGTAGACTTACTACAGGTATTGATGAGTGAGCTTATTTTTCTAGGAGATTTGCACTGAATTATGAGCAAACAGCCAAATGTGGAGGCGAAGCCGTGTTCATCGAAGACTTCAAGAAAACTAAAGGATATAAGTAAGATATTTAAGCAAACTCTTAAGATATCTCTCACTAAAGTTACCCATTTCAAGAAATGACAATTTATAATAATTTATTAATTAAAATGGTACACCAACCCAACAGATGTGAGTAGTATTTTCATTTTAAAATATTAAATATTGGATGAAGAAAGCTATAAACTATTCTTTTAACACGTGAATTAAGTGGCTAATATTTATTATTTAAAAGTAAGATATCATTTTTATTTGAAAATTCTTCAACTTGCTATAGAAGTTTAAACATCATACATTAAGCCAATTCCAATCTATCATCATGATTCATAGAAATGTAATCGTTCAATTTAAAGTTATGAATGATGATTGTGACTTTAGAATGACTATATTTTAAATTATAGAAATACTTATATTTGATTTGAATCACAAGAAATTCTATTGAATTTGAGATTCTGAAATTTTGTATGAAAAATAATAAAATATAAATTTGAAATTAAACTAATTTAACTTTTTAAAGTTATCGGAATATTTTTTAATTCTTAAGTAGAAAGAGGATATTATCAAAATTTTAATAATATTTATTATTAAAATAATCACTTAATTAATTTATTATTGACCCATCTGCCTTCAACAATCTTTTAGTTTTTAGTATGATATAAACCAAAACCATTTATATAATCCTTTAAGAATTGGCCACAAAACTTTTCACCATTGGATAAATATAAAGTGCCTTGGCCTTCTTTGTTATCATCATTAAACTCTCCTTCGTATTTGGTCCAGAAACTAGGTTAAAATGATTGAATTATACTCTTCGATGTGATCAAAATCATGATAATTGAAAGGCTCATTTAATTAGGAAGTCACTTCGTTATATAATACTCCATAACCTTAGAATTTATCTTAATTCCACGATCCTTTATAAGCTGGATTACCATTTGAATAATATAAAGTGCCTATGATTTGTAATGCATTATATAGATACCATAACCATGCATGTGATTAAACTGCCAATTTCCATCGTAATATCCTCCATCTTTGTAGTAAAACATTCCCTGTCCATGTCTCATGCCATTGAATTTATAACCATTGTATTTCGAACCATCTTGATACTACTCATTTACAAATATTTCTCCTTAAGAAGAAAATCCTGAAATATGAGGTTACTGCTATTATTAAGGTAGATCGAATGGGAGTGAAAATTGTTGTTGAGATTCTTTTACATTAATATCACTGAGTTTTAATTAGAAATTCTTATTAACATGCTAATCAGTGTGATCTTGGAGTGGCATGTTTTAGGATCTATTGGTGTAATTGTCATCATTTTCATTATTATCTGTATTCTCGTCAATTTTGGATAGTTTAGAAACTTATTGAGAGTACACTATTTATTACACAAAATCACAACTATCAGGTGGATTAGGTAACACTACATCTTCTTACATTCTACTGGCCATGGTGGAATTTGTATTAGATTGTTCAGTAATGATATCTCTGAGTGATGGTTTCTTGGCATTTGTATTAGATTTTGAACTTTTGATTTATTTCATAATGGGAAGAGTCTACTATTGATATTGGACATTTGATTGATGTTATGAATTTTATTGAATGGAACTTTATTGTTATTGATCGTATGTATTAAATGATCTAAGTTAGTACTTAAAATTAGTAATTGATGCTGATTCCTAATATTTTTAGTCTAATAATTTTGATAGGGCAATAAAATCAGGTCTTTAGGCTTCTTAAATTGATAACATAGATTGAATGACTTCAAATAATTAGGGTTACACAAGAGTGTTTAATTGGTGTAATTTAGTTAGAAGCACTTCTTCGACCAAATACAACTGTTTATAGCAATCATTCATTGGGGTTTTTAAGATACTTTGTAATATGCACATTCCGAGTATAAATACATCACTCTTGTATGGATTATGGTGAGGTTGAAACTCCTTTTATCTTAGAGCCATGGTTTGTTGAGGTGATAGATAAAGATCGTTGAGTTTAGTGTTTTGGAAGAGCTGTTAAAAATTGGTGGATTGCTCATAGAGGGAAGGATCACAGATTTTAGGAGGTAGGTATAGGGTTTTGGATGAGATATGTTCATGCTAAATGGATTTATTTTATAAGTCTTCGAGTGCTCTAACATATCCAAACAAAACCGCCCAATAATCTTGGGGAGCCAATTATGTCGCAGTTAATTAGGATGTAGGGTGCTCTATCAATAAGTATACTTTAAAAAACTGACTGCACACCTATTGATCTTAGGTAGTGTAGATGTCAAGAATTTTGAGAATGTACTGATTTTAAATTAGTTATTGTTTATTTTCGAATTGCTTTTTGCTTTTCTTAAAAAGAGTCTCATCAGTGTATGTGTACTCTTTCAAAATAAGTTTGATTTTGGGATTTGATTTATTAACTAGGACTGTGCAATCTCCAAATTCTAAATTAATGGATTGAAATACATTCATCTCTTGTTTTGGTTGGTTGATATTCAGAATACAACTAGGCTAGCTTAGTGGATTCTTAGCTATTATTATTTCCCATTCAAAATTAACGAATATTTAATAATAATGATTACAATTCTGAAGAATACTTTAATAATCTATGTTGGTCTTTTGGGTCTGAGCACAATCGGATCCCTCTTCATATGTTTGGATCAAGACTATCATCAACAGTGTCCATCACATGTGATCACTGTTTTATCAGATCTGGCAGTCATTCCAATTGTAAATGAAGCAAGAATGATGTTGATTCCGATGATCAAAGAGTTGCCCCCTCAATGGATTACTGTATTGATTTGGAGTTCATTAATGATGACAACAGCCTTAATTATATCAATCATGTATATAACAGCGTAAAGAATTTAAATTAATATGTAGAAAGTTCACTTATAATGTCTTAATGAATTTAGTGAAATTTATTGTGATATTGATGTTGATATCACTTGTCTATGCCTGGTGGATGAATGCATAAGATATTCCTTAAAAATTACAATAATATTTGAAGTACTTACAATTATTCTAATAATGAAATATAATATTTATATTTTAATGAGATCACTTTCTTAAGTTTGTATCACTGAAAATTCAGAAAACATCGAAAAGTATATCTTCAAACCAAAGAAAGTAATCACCTTGATCTCAGACTCGCCTACTCTAACCAAAAGATACAGTCAATAGGCCTTGATTATTGCATAGGATTCGCCTCCCAAAAAACATAAAACTTGTAGCAGTGAGATTCCCTTGAGTAATGGAAAGATGTTCTTGAAGGACGGCAAGATCTCATTCCTGAAGTAAAAGTTACCCAAATTGGAGTTACCTTAAGCAAAATGTAAATTTGACCCAAAAACTGAAATCCTCAAATGGATACAAACAAATAAGATTATTTCTCCTCCAAAAAAGAGAATCACTTTCAGGGCAATTAAAGAATCGAACGGTTAAAACAGAAAATCATAGATCTTTTGATTATAATTATGAATTAACGAAACTACATTCTTAGAATGCATAGCAATTTCTCAACTGATTGTGCAACATACACTCAAATTGAGAAATTGCTTAAAACCTTCTATTCATTAGTAAATGTAAAGAGAAACAGTCTTTTAACTTGAGACCCATATCTTGCATCTCAGTGGTAGATATCAATAGAATGAATACAACAAATTGATTTGTTTAATTATTGTATATATAAATATATAATTTTATTATTAAATGGATTATTACAAGATTTTAGAAATTAATCGCGATGCTTCAGCCTCAGAAGTTGCCAAGGCTTATAATAAGCTTTCATTAAAATGGCATCCCAAGTTGAGTAAATTGGATCATAATACTACTTATCATCATTTTTGTTTAATTTCTGAAGCCTACGAAGTATTGTCTGATCGTAATAATACATAATCAAATTAGCAATCAAAAGGACATTCTATGATAAGTATGGTGAAGAGAAGTTGAAGGAAGGTTTCTTTGCTAATGGAAGTAATGAATCTTTCGATTAACATAGACCTCAAGGGCGGTTACAGTTTTGCAGGTAATCCTGAAGTAATATTTGAAAAGTTTTTCGGGACATCGAATCCTTTTGCATAATTGATAGGTAATTATGAATACTAATTCATTTAGATACCAATGGATCAGAAAATCATGGCACTCTCTTTAGTCATGCATTTGGAGGACAGAATTTCCCAGGAATCCCAGGACCCCAAGATCTTGAAATCTAAGTAGAATGCACTCTACATGAATTGTACAATGGATGTGCAAAGACTGTTTCATATCAAAGACAAGTGCTAAATAAAGATGGCATCACAACTCGTCAAATTATGGAAACTAAGTATTCATTTCAAATTGATATCTCACTTAGAGAAATTAAAATAGATCGTGGAATCGAAACTGCCTAAAAGATAGTCTACAAAGAGTTAGGCAATGAAGCTGCAGGATTTAAATCTTCAGATCTGATCTTCCAAATCAAAGAAACTCCACATCCTACCTTTAAGAGAAAAGGAAATGACCTATTGTATATTGCAAAAGTTAATTTGGCCAATGCAATAGCCGCAGATCCCATCTAGATAATAACCTTGGACAATAGAAAATTATAAGTGCCAGTTGATTAAATCATTAGGTATTGAAAATATGTATTATCATAGTCCGAAATATGTGAAGATGATTGAAAATGAAGGAATGCCAATCTTCTAATAGGATGAAGTGAAAGTATCAAAATTTGCCATTATTTTTATAGGATTTTGGTAAACCATACGCATTTGGAAATTTGTACATTAGATTTGACATCCAATTCCCAGAAGATCTAACTGAAAGTTAAAAAAATAGAATCAAAGACATTTTGTTAGAAGGTTAATAATGATTCATATTAATTATCATCATCATCATTATAAAAATTACTCCTTAAGATGTTGTTATTAATTAACAAGAGTTTATTTAATTAATATTTTAGTATTATTTAAAAACATATTATGTTTTAATAACGTCATCAAAAATGGAGAAGTAACAGCTTAGCAATTGATTAGCAATTACAAACCAATATGAATAATAGATATCTGATCCTCTTAAAAAATTTGATCCATTTTGAGAGATTAACGTATATTTTACGAAATATCCAGGGTCACCTGTTTGATCTATATTTTCTTAAATCAAATATTAAGAATCTATGTATAATATTATAAGATACAAGGTGTTTCATCATCATAATCATAGCAATNTTAGAAATTAATCGCGATGCTTCAGCCTCAGAAGTTGCCAAGGCTTATAATAAGCTTTCATTAAAATGGCATCCCAAGTTGAGTAAATTGGATCATAATACTACTTATCATCATTTTTGTTTAATTTCTGAAGCCTACGAAGTATTGTCTGATCGTAATAATACATAATCAAATTAGCAATCAAAAGGACATTCTATGATAAGTATGGTGAAGAGAAGTTGAAGGAAGGTTTCTTTGCTAATGGAAGTAATGAATCTTTCGATTAACATAGACCTCAAGGGCGGTTACAGTTTTGCAGGTAATCCTGAAGTAATATTTGAAAAGTTTTTCGGGACATCGAATCCTTTTGCATAATTGATAGGTAATTATGAATACTAATTCATTTAGATACCAATGGATCAGAAAATCATGGCACTCTCTTTAGTCATGCATTTGGAGGACAGAATTTCCCAGGAATCCCAGGACCCCAAGATCTTGAAATCTAAGTAGAATGCACTCTACATGAATTGTACAATGGATGTGCAAAGACTGTTTCATATCAAAGACAAGTGCTAAATAAAGATGGCATCACAACTCGTCAAATTATGGAAACTAAGTATTCATTTCAAATTGATATCTCACTTAGAGAAATTAAAATAGATCGTGGAATCGAAACTGCCTAAAAGATAGTCTACAAAGAGTTAGGCAATGAAGCTGCAGGATTTAAATCTTCAGATCTGATCTTCCAAATCAAAGAAACTCCACATCCTACCTTTAAGAGAAAAGGAAATGACCTATTGTATATTGCAAAAGTTAATTTGGCCAATGCAATAGCCGCAGATCCCATCTAGATAATAACCTTGGACAATAGAAAATTATAAGTGCCAGTTGATTAAATCATTAGGTATTGAAAATATGTATTATCATAGTCCGAAATATGTGAAGATGATTGAAAATGAAGGAATGCCAATCTTCTAATAGGATGAAGTGAAAGTATCAAAATTTGCCATTATTTTTATAGGATTTTGGTAAACCATACGCATTTGGAAATTTGTACATTAGATTTGACATCCAATTCCCAGAAGATCTAACTGAAAGTTAAAAAAATAGAATCAAAGACATTTTGTTAGAAGGTTAATAATGATTCATATTAATTATCATCATCATCATTATAAAAATTACTCCTTAAGATGTTGTTATTAATTAACAAGAGTTTATTTAATTAATATTTTAGTATTATTTAAAAACATATTATGTTTTAATAACGTCATCAAAAATGGAGAAGTAACAGCTTAGCAATTGATTAGCAATTACAAACCAATATGAATAATAGATATCTGATCCTCTTAAAAAATTTGATCCATTTTGAGAGATTAACGTATATTTTACGAAATATCCAGGGTCACCTGTTTGATCTATATTTTCTTAAATCAAATATTAAGAATCTATGTATAATATTATAAGATACAAGGTGTTTCATCATCATAATCATAGCAATAAGAGCCGTTTAATCTCTAATATGGAGATGAGCAATCGCTTATGCAGGTACCATCTCTATAAAAATAGTATCCAGAAACACAGGTCTTACATATAAATGGTACTTCACACAATTAACAATATAAAGGACAATAACCTGAACTAATTTATATAAATGCCATTCCCCATCCTGCTGTGCCATCGCTAAATTTAATAAATGATGTTTACGTATAATTTCCTATTGCTGAAACTAGGAATGCTTATTTTGGAATGTCAAGATATGAGATTAATTCATAACTTGTAACCGATGAATACGTTAAATACAAATCATAAGCTTATGTTTTAAATATTGTGAATTTAGCCGTTTGAATTCCAGAAGTATTTCTATAAATAGATCCATAATATATATTGTTAATCTTAAACTATATGCCACAATTAATTGGAATATCATTAAAAAGGACAATTGAAATTTTCAATCCAATAAAATAAGTTGAATACTAATAATCAGGTACATTAGTGAAATATCTATAAATTCCAGAATTAAACTTAAATATCCCAAATATACTTGGGATGTGATTAATAATAGTTGGAGTTGTATCTATATGTTGTGGGTCGTATATTAACTACCATCTCAAATTTATAGGATTTGTGAATTCTGATGCAAGATAACCGTAATCTATATAAAGAACTAAATAATATTAATTAAACTACTTACCTAGATAATATTAACAAAACCCATCATAATATAATGGGGAGCGCAAATCACAAATATTTCTGCATCCATCCTCCTTCATATAGTATTAATTTGATGGACAAGATGGACAAATGTTGTTTGTTGGGAGCCCATAATAGCATTTTGTACATTAATTGTATTGTGGACCTGTACATTCCGTACATATGGAATAGCATTATATTCTCGAGACATAGATATTTCTAATTGAAACTGTTCCTTAATTTGTATTAGAAGAAGTTAAAATAATAGAACTTTAAATTTCGCTTGGTATTAAAGATAATGTAAAATTTAAAGTCTTAATTTAAAAAGGAGTATCATCACAAAATCCAGTTATCAATGGATAAGTAGTTGGGGAATTGTAAGCATATGTATATTAAAATGATCCTATGGTAAATTGAAAATTTTGAGATGACCATGTACTCTAAAAATATAAATCTATAGATATCCAATCCCCATCTTAGTAGGTGCTTTCATAATAATCTCGAGCAGTTGGATATATATTATTTAATGTAATGTAGCTTGTGGAAGGATTTGTACAAGTGATAAAATTTGCAGTAGTGTCTATTGTGTCTATTGAAGGCAATAAAAAACCTCCTGAAGAAATAGGTGCATATAATCCGGTGATTGTTGTAAATTGCCAATTATAGCATAATCTTTAGCAATGGGGTTGCCATTAGGAATTTGAAATATCAAGCAAGGGTAATAGGNATCAAATATTAAGAATCTATGTATAATATTATAAGATACAAGGTGTTTCATCATCATAATCATAGCAATAAGAGCCGTTTAATCTCTAATATGGAGATGAGCAATCGCTTATGCAGGTACCATCTCTATAAAAATAGTATCCAGAAACACAGGTCTTACATATAAATGGTACTTCACACAATTAACAATATAAAGGACAATAACCTGAACTAATTTATATAAATGCCATTCCCCATCCTGCTGTGCCATCGCTAAATTTAATAAATGATGTTTACGTATAATTTCCTATTGCTGAAACTAGGAATGCTTATTTTGGAATGTCAAGATATGAGATTAATTCATAACTTGTAACCGATGAATACGTTAAATACAAATCATAAGCTTATGTTTTAAATATTGTGAATTTAGCCGTTTGAATTCCAGAAGTATTTCTATAAATAGATCCATAATATATATTGTTAATCTTAAACTATATGCCACAATTAATTGGAATATCATTAAAAAGGACAATTGAAATTTTCAATCCAATAAAATAAGTTGAATACTAATAATCAGGTACATTAGTGAAATATCTATAAATTCCAGAATTAAACTTAAATATCCCAAATATACTTGGGATGTGATTAATAATAGTTGGAGTTGTATCTATATGTTGTGGGTCGTATATTAACTACCATCTCAAATTTATAGGATTTGTGAATTCTGATGCAAGATAACCGTAATCTATATAAAGAACTAAATAATATTAATTAAACTACTTACCTAGATAATATTAACAAAACCCATCATAATATAATGGGGAGCGCAAATCACAAATATTTCTGCATCCATCCTCCTTCATATAGTATTAATTTGATGGACAAGATGGACAAATGTTGTTTGTTGGGAGCCCATAATAGCATTTTGTACATTAATTGTATTGTGGACCTGTACATTCCGTACATATGGAATAGCATTATATTCTCGAGACATAGATATTTCTAATTGAAACTGTTCCTTAATTTGTATTAGAAGAAGTTAAAATAATAGAACTTTAAATTTCGCTTGGTATTAAAGATAATGTAAAATTTAAAGTCTTAATTTAAAAAGGAGTATCATCACAAAATCCAGTTATCAATGGATAAGTAGTTGGGGAATTGTAAGCATATGTATATTAAAATGATCCTATGGTAAATTGAAAATTTTGAGATGACCATGTACTCTAAAAATATAAATCTATAGATATCCAATCCCCATCTTAGTAGGTGCTTTCATAATAATCTCGAGCAGTTGGATATATATTATTTAATGTAATGTAGCTTGTGGAAGGATTTGTACAAGTGATAAAATTTGCAGTAGTGTCTATTGTGTCTATTGAAGGCAATAAAAAACCTCCTGAAGAAATAGGTGCATATAATCCGGTGATTGTTGTAAATTGCCAATTATAGCATAATCTTTAGCAATGGGGTTGCCATTAGGAATTTGAAATATCAAGCAAGGGTAATAGGAAATAAATTATAGAAATCGTCATAAATAAATAATAGAACTTGTTATCAAAAAAATAAAAAATAATAGAAATGAAAATTTCTTATAATTATGAGACTAAAAATAAAGACAAATGAGGTTAATTAGTTGCCCTTAGAAAAGGTTTATCAAAGAAATAATACATTTGGAACATTAAAATAATCTAAATAAGGATTTAATAATTATTATATTATCCATTACAAACATCAGAGAATAAGTAATATCATTATAATATATAATTAGAAATTATTCATGTAATAAATAAAATGTTAAAATATGAAACAAAAAAAGAGAGATTCAATCTCTAAGATAATGATTTTCAGGAATACAATATCTTTTAACAATTAATAGTAAAAAAATTTACGATTAAAAGTATATCTATTTTACTCAGTAATATCGTTATGTAATTTGAACAGCATATTTTCAAGAGTAGAATTATTGCCATAATAATTCTTATTAAATTGACTATTGCAATCAACTTTAGCTATCTTGAAAATTGAAAATCAACTAAAACATACTGATGTATAAAACCTTATAATATACACAGCAAAGAATCAGGATGTTACGAAAAGAAAATATTAAAAGTTAATATAAACACTAATTGAAAATATAATGCATTAAAACATATATTGGAAACTTGAATATAAAAATAAACTATAATTTTTTAAATTACAGTCATCATTATTTCCTTCCTGAATTACAAAATTATTTTATTGAGGATAATAAAGAATATTTCTAGTTTTTTGGTTAGTACCTAAAATTATTATAGATTAGTTAAGAAAAACCCATGGAATTTGGTCAATTTTATTAAGTAGGAAGGATTGGAAGCTTCTTATTATTACTTTTGAGTTTCTTCTAAGAGTTTTTTCGAATAAGTAAATGATATGAGTTAATAATAAGGATAGCTTTAGTTTTCATTTTCCACTACCAATTTTAAAAACAAAAGATGGTTTAAATTTTGAAGAGTTTATTTTAGATATTGATTAATTTTACCATTACTATTTAAAAATTAAAATTTCTGAAAATAAGAAATGCTAAGTAAAAATACTACTTTTTTTAGACTTAATGATTATGAAAAATTCCCAGTCGAGATTTATTTATTTTGAAGTCTATTTTTAAGTAGTTAGCAGCCTGATGTAGTGAATGTTGTAATCCAGACTTTTGAGAAATTTCAATATTTTTTATATCTAATATTCAATAAAGATTACTCAAAAAAATGACTGTTTTAATGAGTATCTAAAATTCGTAATTTGTATTTTATTCTTGAATTTGTTATTAGAATTAATAATATTGAGCAATATGAGATAATAATTTGTAGATAATAAGTACAAAAAAAAGATTCGAAGTTAATACAAAAGAATTAATACGATTATATTATTAAATTGATCCTATGTATTAAATGGCATTAATCTTGCTCTTTAGTATAATTAATAGATTTCATTAGTAGAATTGGACCCTATATTATGAAGGAAGAGACTGGAATTATTTTTTTATTTAATTGATTCAATACTGGATATTAATTTTGTAATTATCTTATCTTCCATTTTATGTTATACTTTTCATAAAGTTCTTAAACAAGTCAGTATAATGATTTGTCATGATTTTTGTTTAATTTAAAATTGCATTAGTTCTTTTTATTAGTAACATTCCAAAGATTATTTTTCTCTATTTTTAAAAGTTTTTTCATAAAGTTATATAAATTTTTGGTTTACTTTTTTCTTATCGATTCATCACAAGCAAATTAGATGAGGTTGGCTTTTTGTTTCTTAAGATGTATTTTTTCAATGGAGTTAATATCTCGACTGAATTTGTCAGAAAGCCTAAGTTTTCTTATTTATTAGTAATATGGTTTATCCTAAAAATGTAAGTGAATTTCCAGTTTCTTAAATTAAAGTTTTAAAATTATCATCAAAATTAATATCAAATAATACTGATGACCTTAAGGAACACCCATTCTTAAAAAGAATTTATTAATAATAACTATCGTTTTATCTAATTATATATCCAAATCAATAGGAGAAGGAATTATTAATATTCTCATTCAAGTTTACTTTTGATGATGCTACTAAGCTTTTTATTTGATATAGTGATATATTTTATCTTTTTCTAATATCCTAAGGACAGCTTAATTTCAAAATATAATCTTTGATGCAAATGATCAAATAGTTTTAGCCACGGTGTGAGATGTTAAATGCTAGACATATTTAAAAATAAAGGAATGATCTGCAATGTGAATTTTTTTAAATTTCCTTAGTCTATCATATAACTGGCCAAGATTCTCCTAATTGAATTCTCAACAAATAATAAGTTACTAATTCTTAGATAAGAGATGTTAAGGCTATCTTTTAAAAAATGCAACTTTCATCTTTATATACCCTCATGCTGTGGTTGTGAAAGTGTAATATATGAAATTAGCATTTGATCTACTGCATTAATTGTACTTCAAGGTTTTCAGCTTTACTTTGCCAATATTATTTATATTTACAGAATGTTGAATGTCAAAAGCGTTTTACTTCTAATTCAATTGTTATGTTAAATTTTAATGCTTCAATTAAAAAGAGAAGAATTTCGAAATAAGCCTAATGCATACTTATTTGAATACTATCTACTCTTAAAAATTATAAAACCATCTTCTTGTATTAGAAAGAAACTAATCCAAATAAGAAAATCAAGTAAATTAATTTAAACTGATAATCTTTTAAAGCAAATAGAACTTCAAAAAAGCCAGATATACCATAAAAAACATCTTTCATTCGCGAAAATTCCAACGTTAAAGATGCATTCTGATAAGAATATTTGCAAAATCTAGTAATTAATAGGAAAGTGGTTGAAATTATTATGATCTTTAGATCAAACATTATTAAATGTTATCTAAATCTAAAAATATCAGTTACAATTGATATCGTAAGTTTACTTCTAAAATAAAGCTAAATTCTAAATGTATGTTATAAACAAGCTTCGATATTAAAAACCCGGTAATTTTTATATTAACCTCAGAGATGAATTATTAAATTTGATTTCAGAAAATAATAAATCTGAAAAGCAATAAATAGAAAGGAATGAAATTTGAGATTTAAAAGTAATTTAAATTCTTAATTAAGAATAAATTTATTAGTATGAATATGAATCATTCTCTTTGAGAACTTTAGAGAATTTAATTAAAAATTTAAAAAGATTCTATTTGATTCTAATTCTATATATGAAAATAGCGAGCTTTGACTCATTTAGCATAATTATTTAAGATTTCTTAAACTTATTTAATTCATTTATTAAATATCAGAATAAAATAAATTATTTTTTAATCCAAACTAATATGCAATGTTTCAGAGGCTGCCGATTTAACATTATTTTTCTGCTACTCCAATTAATACTATCTTGTCTATATGAATCAGCTTTGGGTATATTTCTATGTTCAATTGAGCCTTTTATCTCTTTTCTGATTGTTGCTTTGATTTTATCAAATAATTTTTGAATCTGCGTTATTTTATATTATGAATGAAGGGTTGTGAGTTTTGTTTTAAATTCAGGTGCTTTTGTTAGACCTTTGATTTCTAGTTTTAATATTTTTTCTTAAAATTAATCTTTTATTTCTTCTGTTGTTGTGATGATTACTTTTTCTTTAAAAGTTAATAATAATTTCTGATATTATAAATACTATTAATATTAGTATTTCTCCACAAAGAATCTTTGTATTTAGTACTTCTATTGAAAATAAGCAATCTTATTTTGTATTTTTTACAGATCATTCAGAAATATAGCCACTTTGCTACCTTCAAATTTGGCTGAATCTTCTTTTCCTCTTGTAAATCCACTGCTATTTCACCTATGTTTTAAAATACGGCTTACTTTATTTTATTTCAAGTTGTTACACTATTAATTCATAGATACTATTATAATATACATTATTGTTTTTACTGGTCTCAGATTTAGCAATAAAGTATTTTTTATATTTGGCATTTGTTTGAAAATGAATTTTTCAAATATTTACTAGTTAAATCAGAGTAAAAAATTGTTTTGAATTTTCATCTACAATTATTTTAGTAAATCTAGCAATTGTTCTTATAAATTTTACTTTATTTTGTAGTGAATTGCAGTTGATTAATAAACTTAATTTGAAAATTATGAATCAGAATATAGAAATATTTTAACTGAAAGGAACAATAAATTAAATAAAATGAAAAAATTTCTGAAACTTATAAATAAAGAGTTGAATAGAACAAATAAATAATAAGAAATGAACTAGATAACGTAATTAAAAATCAAATTCAGTATAGTTATTGATCAAAAAACAAAAAATAATTTTATTTTAATAATTGTTATAAGTATTATAAATAACTTGAGGAAATGGAATAAAACTTAGTTAAATGAAAATAAATCATTCTTTTAATCTCAATCAATTAATTTTCAAAATCTAAATTNAACCCGGTAATTTTTATATTAACCTCAGAGATGAATTATTAAATTTGATTTCAGAAAATAATAAATCTGAAAAGCAATAAATAGAAAGGAATGAAATTTGAGATTTAAAAGTAATTTAAATTCTTAATTAAGAATAAATTTATTAGTATGAATATGAATCATTCTCTTTGAGAACTTTAGAGAATTTAATTAAAAATTTAAAAAGATTCTATTTGATTCTAATTCTATATATGAAAATAGCGAGCTTTGACTCATTTAGCATAATTATTTAAGATTTCTTAAACTTATTTAATTCATTTATTAAATATCAGAATAAAATAAATTATTTTTTAATCCAAACTAATATGCAATGTTTCAGAGGCTGCCGATTTAACATTATTTTTCTGCTACTCCAATTAATACTATCTTGTCTATATGAATCAGCTTTGGGTATATTTCTATGTTCAATTGAGCCTTTTATCTCTTTTCTGATTGTTGCTTTGATTTTATCAAATAATTTTTGAATCTGCGTTATTTTATATTATGAATGAAGGGTTGTGAGTTTTGTTTTAAATTCAGGTGCTTTTGTTAGACCTTTGATTTCTAGTTTTAATATTTTTTCTTAAAATTAATCTTTTATTTCTTCTGTTGTTGTGATGATTACTTTTTCTTTAAAAGTTAATAATAATTTCTGATATTATAAATACTATTAATATTAGTATTTCTCCACAAAGAATCTTTGTATTTAGTACTTCTATTGAAAATAAGCAATCTTATTTTGTATTTTTTACAGATCATTCAGAAATATAGCCACTTTGCTACCTTCAAATTTGGCTGAATCTTCTTTTCCTCTTGTAAATCCACTGCTATTTCACCTATGTTTTAAAATACGGCTTACTTTATTTTATTTCAAGTTGTTACACTATTAATTCATAGATACTATTATAATATACATTATTGTTTTTACTGGTCTCAGATTTAGCAATAAAGTATTTTTTATATTTGGCATTTGTTTGAAAATGAATTTTTCAAATATTTACTAGTTAAATCAGAGTAAAAAATTGTTTTGAATTTTCATCTACAATTATTTTAGTAAATCTAGCAATTGTTCTTATAAATTTTACTTTATTTTGTAGTGAATTGCAGTTGATTAATAAACTTAATTTGAAAATTATGAATCAGAATATAGAAATATTTTAACTGAAAGGAACAATAAATTAAATAAAATGAAAAAATTTCTGAAACTTATAAATAAAGAGTTGAATAGAACAAATAAATAATAAGAAATGAACTAGATAACGTAATTAAAAATCAAATTCAGTATAGTTATTGATCAAAAAACAAAAAATAATTTTATTTTAATAATTGTTATAAGTATTATAAATAACTTGAGGAAATGGAATAAAACTTAGTTAAATGAAAATAAATCATTCTTTTAATCTCAATCAATTAATTTTCAAAATCTAAATTACCTTTTAGAATTCTCATTACCATAGAGCATTGAAGATGATCGGGCTAAGATTAAAGTAATAATATGAAAAACATATTACTATATTGATAAGTGCAATAAAAGATGCTATTTGAATCCCTAAGATCAATAGATGATAAAAAATAATAGATAAATCCAAAGTGTAAAGGACTATAGATTATTATAGTTAGAAGCCTTAATGATAATTATGTATATTTAATTATAATACTTTATTCTTTGTTAATAATTTTATTAGATAATTATATCTTATATTAAAAATTAGTGATAATTTAATATTTATAATAAATATAAATCTTGACTCATGAAAATAATTAACTACTAGCAAGCTTTATTTTCCTTTTTTTACAAACTAACTTCCAAATTTTTTATATTTTTGGAAAGAGTTGTTTTACAAAAATCATTCCAAGACACATAATTAAAAATCCCATCTGAATAAATCCTAAAGTAATTTTGTTCTCATAAGAAAAATAAACCTCGCCAATATCAAAATATAAAAATAAGGTTAAACTAAATACTGTTAAAACACCTTCAATTATTAAGAATATGATCCTATCAAATTAAGAGCATAATTTATATTTGTAGATTATGCAACATTAAGCTATACTACTTATAGATATTAGTAAGCATTACAAAATTTATTATTCTTAGAATAGAATTAATATGCTATGGAAGAAAATAGCTCTGGAAACATCTAAGGCAATAAATTTTATTTCAAGATTTGATAATACAGTATTTTTCTTAGGATAGCTGCATAAACTAAAAGATTTTAATAACAAACTTATGCAGGTGAAAAATATTAAACTTGCAAAAACAGTAGTTATAATACTTCTCAAATTGTCGATTTTACAATAATGAAGTTACAGAATCACTTTAAATATCAAATCCCATGAGTTAACATAAATAAGTTGTATTATTTAATCATAATTCTAGAAATATTTAGTTTTCATTAATGATTTGAAGCAATTTTTAAAAATTAGTATTAAGTTAATAATTGCAATTAACATCTTTGATAATAGTGTTTTTTGATGTTAAAGATGTCTCATATATTTACTTAATCTAAATAGTTTATTATAAAGATTTTCTGCAAAATAAAGTAGTGTTACCAATACTAAACATGAAATTAATTGTGGTAAAATATTGGTAAAAAGATCAGCTTCTACATTATATTATTAAAATTTTCCATTAAGATCAATTTATATTTCTTTTCTTGTTATTAAATTTAAATAATCATCAATTTAAAAAAGTTGTAAATAATTTGATATAGATAGCAATTCTTATGCTTAAAAATATATGTAGAGGTTTTCAGGATAGTCAACATTAATAAATCTTAAGAATGATTGATATTACAATAGATTTAAGGTTTCAACAACAAAAGAACTTTCACCAGAAACTAAAGAAATAACACAAATTAATATTGCTCCAATCATGAATGCTTTATTGGATTATTAAGCATAAATAGATACTAATCTTAATTATTCAGACATTATTTTTGGTGTTTATAGAGTCATTGATTAATTGGGATTAAAAAGTGTTTAATTATTTGAGTTAATAATATCTTGATTCAACTAAACTTAAAGAATTGTTTTTGTTTAAAGCTATTAAAATAATTCAATTTAAACCTAATACTAAGC